TCGTCCCGACGTAAATCTATTATAACTAGGGCTCACCCTACTCCACGGGTCCATACACACTCTTAAGAAGGAGGTTGAACGTCTCTGAGGCAGGAGTACTCAAGAAGGTAACGCTCGAGTGGACGGCACCAACTTTGTCATTCCCTAAAAAGGATGGATCTGTACGATTCATCTCTGATTTTCGGGAACCGAACAAAAGGATCAGCGGAAGCCTTTATCCTTACCCAAAAATACAGGACATTCTTGAACTAGATGGATTAAGTGCGCTACTAGTCTAGACCTGAACACGGGACACTACCACATCGAGCTGTCACCTCACTCGAAGCAACACTTACCATTGCACTCCCGAGGGGAAAGCACGAGTACCAGAGTTACCAATGGGCCTATGTAATAGTCCCGACATTTTCCAAAGGAAGATGAAAAAACGCATGCATGACTTAGAAAAGTCCGTGCATACATTGATGATCAACTCATCCTAACTGACGTCGATCTGGCGGATCGCGTTAATAGTTAGATGACCTTTCCAAAGACTTCAAGAAGTCGGGTTGAAATCAACACTACCAAGGCCTTCCTCGAAAGGAAGAACTGGAGTATCTAGACATTGGACTACTCGAGAGGGAATCCAACCTTAACTAAAAGGATAACAGATGTGATCCAGCTATCGCTCTTCCTACCAACAAGAAGGAACTTCGTGATTCATTGGACCAATAACTACCAAGGCTGCTCCAAGACAGCAGACGGGGTAACCACGTTCTGAAACAGACGTGGGTTACCAGTATCCATGACCGTTGTCATGGACAGAGAACGTGAGTCCCGTGCAGAGGTCGAGAAGACTCTCCGGATGAACATGGACTTCGTCGCAAGTTCAGCGCGTCAATCGTGAAAAGACTCACTACATCCGTTTCAAAGCAAACCGGAAAACATTAAGGAACGTCGCCAACGACTTATCCAGAAAAAAACCGATAGGAGAACACGACACGTGTCCTCATCAACACCATGTCAACGATACTATGATGATTCATCAGTATCAAACCGTTAGTCGGTCAGCCAACGCACAAGGTCCTTACCACACAGACCGAGTCAATAACAATGGCACTACGGCTCCGACATGCTACCGACAGTAGCGGCACAGTCTACCAGACTTGGAACATAAGGTATTTAACCCCATACAAGGCCTGATCCCTTGTAGGATTGCCATCGTGCGACGCACATGTCCAATCTCCGGAGAGTTCCCGCACTTTAATTCATATGTTCTCCTTGTCCGATGATGTCGTCCTTCCGTGACCCTTGTCAGGGGCGAATGCAATAACGGCTCTTAGCCTTATTCGCGACTCGATCCTAGATAGGGTTTGAGTTCGACTCATGACTGAGTCTCTCGTGAATAGTCATTGAGACAGGGTTCTCAATGACCGCTCTAGTCATACTAGGTTGATGATGAAAACATCGCTCTAGATATTTAGCCAGCATGGAGTACTTCCACGCTACTAGATAAATGCTAGATGAATCTTCCAGCGTTCCGTTTTTGGATCGTGGAGTGAGTGGATTGCTACCGCAACCTACTCTATCACACTCTACAGTCTCCCGCGGAGTTCAGATCTACGATCCTTGATTGTGATCTCTCTCGTTGATTAGTTTTTCATAGCTTTCTAATCCTCTCATAACTTTCATTCTCTCAAACTCAAAACACTCGAAAGATCTTTACACTAGCTTTTAGCGTAGTGCAATGACAAGTCCGGAAGACGAGGCCGTCCCAGAACCGCAGGGTCACGAAGTAGAACAAGACCCTGAAAACAGCGGACTTGCAGTGGCAGCACCCGTAACAGTTGGTGATGTTGAAAGTGCCCACCCTGTGTCACCCGAGCAGGAGGAAATTGATAGAGCCAGAGAGGCCAAAAAACGCAAGGAAACAAACTTTATGATTGCCATTGGCACTCTAGTGGCCATCGCTTTCATCGTCATGTTGGTTATCATCTTTATTGTGAAAGGTGAAAATGATGACAGCCCACCCCCAACAGATGGTAACATCACGGCTGGGAACACGTCTATTCCCTTGAGTCCCGAAGAAGTCTTGACTGGATTGCTCCCAGATGACACTCTGCCCAACCTAGAATTTGAATATACCCCTCAGGCCAAGGCATTCAAATGGGTCGCAGAAGACCCAAACTTTGACAGCTATTCTGACAAGCGGTTGCAACAGCGTTTTGCTTTGGCTACGTTCTACTACAGCTCCAATGGTGATGGGGATGGTTGGGGTAACAAAACAAACTGGCTCAACGTATCAGTTCACCAATGTAACTGGGATTTTATCATGCCAAACAACCTGCAGTACCACGCTAATCATGGGAATCGATATGATGAATACAAGTACATTGATGGCCCGTGTGTACCCAAAAATGCAAGCATGGTGGGCAACTATAGCACTGCGATGGACGTTGCCTACCATGATGATTTCCTCTACTTGGCCTTGGTTGGTCAGGAGCTCGATGGTTCCATCCCACCAGAGATCGCCATGTTGACATCTCTAAAAATGATCCAGTTTGATTCTACAACAATGGAAGGTCCCATTCCCACCATCCTGGCCAACCTCACAGGCCTACGGGAACTATACATATACGATACCTTTACCGGAACCATTCCGACTGAGCTTGCTCAACTTAGCGAACTGCGAACTTTGAATATTGGGGGTGCAACGGAGATTTGGGGTACCTTGCCTTCTGAGTTTGGCTTGCTTTCCATCCTCAAAGTGCTAAAGATTGCCGAAACCAATATTTCCGGAACTATTCCAATGGAATACACTCATTTGTCCCCATGGATATTTCGGATCTTCCGAAATTCCCTTACTGGCACTATCCACACAGAGTTTGGGCTGTTCTCCGATGTTGAGTGGTTCTTCATTGAACGAAATGACCTGGTAAGAGCTACAACACAGATTTCTGTTTGTTTCATTCAAGCAATGTCACCCCCTGACAGGATTTTTCCTCCATTTCGATTGTGTTTTGTCATCTAGACTGGTTCTGTCCCCAGTGAGCTTGGATTGATGAGCAGGATGCAAATTATTTATGCATACGAGATGAGTCTGAGTGGCACGATTCCAACTGAATTGGGTTTGCTATCGAGCATTGCACAGATATATTTGCAAACAAATTCCTTGACTGGAACGTACGTTTGTCACTGCTTCAGTCTGCCTGTCAACTATACTGAAAGTTGAAACTAATGGTGTGCATTATTTTTGTTCTCAGTATCCCCACAGAGTTGGGCATCCCCACTGAAAACTTCTGGAGACTTGCTGTCAGCAGGAATCTTTTGGTATGTACTAATAATCCTATTGCAGGTTGCATTGAAGTCTTTTGACTGACTTTTCCCGGTTGATCTTGTTCCTTCCTCTACAGACTGGTACGGTTCCCAGTGAGCTAAGACTTCTCACAAAGTGCGCCAACTTGGCAACCCAGGCCAATCTGCTCACATCAACAATTCCGACAGAGGTTGCTGCCCTGCCAGCAATGGAGTACTTTTCCAATTCAGACAACCTGTATTCTGGAATTTTTCCCATGGAGCTCTTTTTCAATGGCAGCAAAATGGTCCGTTTCTGGTTTGAGAACAATGAAATCTCCGGAACTATCCCAACAGAAATTGGCTATTGGACTAGCTTGTGGAACTTTCGACTTGATGGAAATTGGATTACCGGAACAATTCCATCAGAAGTTGGTACCCTGGTATCAAAGCTTGAATACTTCAATGCTGGCTCCAACCAGTTATTTGGGGAGATCCCAACTGAGATTGGGAATCTGCTCAAGCTCAAAGAGTTCTCTGTTGGCGACAATGGCTTGACTGGGACTCTGCCAAAGGAGCTAGGGTTCCTTGTAACCAATGGGACCTTGAAGCACCTTAACGTTTCCAATAATGATGGGCTGTTTGGAACCATCGGATCTGAGGTTTGTGCGTTGACCGCTGACCCTGTTTTGAGTAATGTTCTGGATTTCACTTGTGGGGATCTTTGTGGGTGTGATTGCCCTTGTGACAATGCGTCGTCACTTGTATTGTATGGTCAAAATTGTACAGTCCTGGCAGAAATGAAGAGTTGGTCATCCAATGGAGTATGATTGAAGGGTCCCAAGTTGTATTCTGTGGGCTGTGGAGGGAAACCAAAGAGCACCATTAATTTTATGTAACTGCTTCATGTTTGAGTACCAGTACCATACTGAGTACAGCTTTGGATGTCACACCGTTGACATCTTTACTTATGATTACGACCTTGATTACGTCACTTGAAGTGTTTTCTGCTTGCGTTGCTTCACACTTCGCGCGTGCTCTTGCACCAGAAACATTTCTTAGTTGGCGCCACCGGTACCGTACTGCCTCTTGGATTCCTCAAGATCCAAGTCTTTCATGGAGGAAAGAAGAATCAAGCCTAGCTATCGGAACAGACTGGCAAGTCTATTGGTATCAAGGTCAACAAACAGTCGGTGGCTGGAGCCGAGTGGCTGGACGAAGATCTCAAAACAATGAACTCCATCCCTGAAGACGAAATCACAGCTCTGTCCGAGACAACCGAACAACTGAAATTCCATGATACAGATAACAATAATGACGAATCTGCAAAAGTTAGGCCTACTCTCAATCGCGAGGTCCTAGTGGTCGAAAATAACGGTATTAAGGTTTGCTACGATGGACGGGCCAAGAGCAAAAGTTTGTGCCGCACCACAGTGGCAACGCGGTCCTTTGACACTCTGTACGTGCCCATTCTGATCGAGCGACCGGCCACTATCTGCGCATCAGGTGATTTTTTGGCATATTTGGAACAATTTCTCAATGCTCCGGAAGACGTGCAACTGGCAATCCTGGATTGTTCCGCCCAGCCGCTCGATTCGCCCATGGGACAATCCTTGGTCGAACCTGCGAAAGTTCTGTTTTTATTGGAAGTGATAGACGACTTTGATCTGATACACCGGCTGCTCTCGATTTATGCGACAAATGCCCATCAATACAAAGAGGATGACGACGGCGGAATCGGTTGCCTTCCTCTCTTTGGTTCTAAAATGAATCATTCCTGCGACGGCGGCAATGTCCGATATTTGTCTCAGTCATCAATAGATGGTTGTGTCGAATACACTGTCACAAAGCCCATCCAAAAAGGCGACATTGTGTCTGTCACCTACCTCACAGATCTATTTGAGACTCCCACACCAGAACGGCGTCAGATATTATTCGACACAAAACATTTTTGGTGTGAATGTGACCGGTGCAATGGACCCGACTATTGTCGCTTCCTTCCATGCCCCGAGTGCTCCAAATTTATTGCATGTGTCTATGCACAAAACTCCTCGGATCACCCTCTATGGAAGTGTCCTACGTGCGATCTCGATTCCGACGACAACGATCACCTGATCGTCCTGGAACGACAAATGGAACAAACGCTCACAATGATGGAACGATCGGTTCAAAAAGAAACCACCAATTTCAACAGGATCCCTGAGGAGGTTACCCCTGCCGATCTCAAGGAAGTTGTCCAAGAATGCTCCGAGAAATTATCTCCTACCCATTACCTTACTATGAAAGCCTTGCGGCTGCTTGTTACTGTGTGTACGTGCTCCGCCTATGTTCAAACCAAGAGATTGGTCGTTCGAGGAGGTTGGACCAATCATCAAATTCTCGCTTACCACCGAGCTGGTGTCCAAGCTAGTTTTCGATCTATTGCAGCCTGTGAATGTGTGGCAGCGGGATGTCCCGGGTGTACATTGCTGGTTACAGCTGGAAGCGGAGAAGGGAAGACCAGCAAGGGTGGGACAGCGGCGGACATGTTCCCGCATGCACCCCTTTTTGATCGAGCTGCACCGGTACATCGAGCCTGCGAGGAACTGACGAAATACCTTCCACCCCACTACTGGCCCAGCTATACTGTAACCATCTTCACTCGCTACCAGCCCTTGTTACACGTTATGTTTGGCCGGGCTGCTATGGAGGAAATCGAAACAAAGTTGCTGCCCTGGAATCAAGCAAGTTGTCTACCGTGTGGCACAGTTTGGAGTGGATCACTATAGAAAATCAAAGCTCCTACTGCAGCCGCGCCATCTACTTCGAGCTACCGGTATTGGTAGCGTTGATTGGGGCCAGACGATTCAACACATGACCGGCGGATATTCCATATTCCATGTATAGGTTTTAGACAACTAAAGTACCACTATAGGCACCCGACGACACAGTTGTGTCTCTGCCTCGTACCAACTTCTCTTACTGATGACTTTTAAAAGACAAACTCTTACTTGTGCCTTGAGAAGCAGACACAGCGGGTCTGGCAAACGCCAAGGGATCTTCGCCACTCAAAGGATTGTCATTGCGTCCAAAACGTGTTGTAGAGGTGGCGGCAGCACCAACAGGTTCCACCATGACTGCTTCCGCTGTAGCCATGGTCACTTTGGATGCATTATCCCCCGTTTCATCTTCCAAGGCCTTGATTTCGGTCAAATGAATAACTGGGAATGCTTCGTCAGGGGACCAATCGACAGGTAAGGCAACATCTTGGTATTCCGACTCTTCCATCCAAGCCGTGGCCACGGGCATGGTTGCTGGTGATGAGGAGGAGGTGATGCCCGAACGCTGCATATGAACATTGTACGAGACTGTGGGGGTAGTCGCCATGAATCGTGTGACAGCACTGACAACCAGTTTGTGTTCCACCTTGCAATTAAGTCCTTGATAGGAATCCATCACATATGGTGGCACTTGAAAGGAAGTGGAGACAGGCTGCACACCATGCTGATTGTTGTGGACGCCACTGTAACTGCTGCCACGTTGTCCCTTGTGTGATGTGACAGGATCCCATTGAGGCAAGTGGGAAACATCCACCTTGAAGTCCACCAAAGGTATATTTTCGTTCCTGCTGTGTCGTCCATGGAACTCTTGACCAGCCTGCCATTGGATGGATTGAATCAGTCTGACCCTCAATCCGTGTACTGGAAGGGCAGAGTTGTTGGATCCCCAGATTTGTAATTGACAGGGCGCCTCTGGTGTCAAGACAATGGAATCAGCTTCCCAGCCCAACGATACATGTCCCTGTTTCCAACAACAGCAAAATCCATTCATGAGAGTTCGTTCTTCGGCCAGATGTAGTGGCTCTGGAATCTCCCTTGTTGGGGCTCCCACATATTGAATGGTTTGTGAAGCACAAGTGTTGGGATTTCTAGTAGCACTATGAGGTCCAAAGAATCCCATTTGCTGTTGTTCTTGTGGTACCAGAAACGCGGATAATGTGTATTTTACTTCGCAGAACCCTTTTCCATCATTGCAATGTCGAAAGGATGTTGGCAGTGGCATATTATCTGGAATAAGCTTCCATTCAAATGGAAATTCGTACTTGGCCACTCGCAAGGGTGATGCAAAGGATGTCAATGGGACTTCGACATGAAACAGCGATGTAGACTCTCGTTCGGTGCGAATACTTTTACACCGATCGCCACCACTGCCGTCTGATTCTTGAATGCGGACCTCTGTGTTTTCCGAGCCACCAAATGCCAACCGGACCCCTTGGTAGGATTGAATGGCAGGAGTTACAGTGGACACATTCACATAGACAGTCCCTGTCATGGTCTCACCATGATGATACGTCTGTTTGTCGCTTTTCAAGCCAATTTGGATGGGAGCATTGCCCATTATCGCTCTTGCTTTGATCGTATCGTATTGTTGTTGGTTCGTGGTGATCCTGCCTCTTTGTTTTGTAATGGAGATTAGTTATGTGCATGGTTGGAGGGAATGGACCCGACTCGCCTCCCACTCGGCATGGGATCGTGGATAATCTATCCTTCTTTGTCTGTGTTATTGAGCGAACCTTCTCGCGAAAATGACATTGTGAAGAAGCAGCCCTAACCCTAACCCTATTTTGATGAGATCTGGATCGAGCAAGGTGCTTTGCCTCTTCATTCAACAATATTATTATTATTATTCCAATTATTCCCACACGACTTGACTTGGAGGGAGGAGAGATCTCGAGCAAGCTTGACACTTGACACCTTGACAAGCGAATGCTTTCCACTGTGGGACCAACAGTTTTAAAATCAGTGATAGCATCCACAGCACTACAGTACAATAATAATAAGCAACAAGTAACAATGACGATGACAGCACTACATGAAACGATCAGAGATATTCTGTTTCGGTTTTATGCTCTTATCGCCTTGGCAGGCGTAGCTCTATTGGTTTGGCTGGGCACTCAATGTTACAAGATCCAGAAGCTGGAGGAGGAAGACCAGCACCAACTGGATCTGGTCAAGGAAGAACTACTCAAGGCAAATGAGGAACATTCAGCTCTGATTAACGAAGAAGAAAGCTACCGATCTACAGTTTGCCCCATTTGTCATCACACCATGATACAAGCTACCCATGCGAAACCAAAAGAAAAGAACATTGCTCCCCTACCAAAAGATGACGATGACAAGGCTGGTGAAACATCTCCATTGATGGCAAACGACTCCAAAAAGAAGAAGAAGACACCAACATCCAACCGTTCGTTGCTTTCCCTCCGATGCGGCCACGAGTTCCACGCCTCCTGTATTACCGTGCTGATGGCCTCGGAACGACGGAATTGTGATCCCTGCCGTTGTCCCGTGTGCCTGCAAGCCTTGTAGAAAGAATGTTCTGGCCTATTACTGGCGGATGAAGGAATATGCAGGAATGTCCGACGTTGAGGGGGTTTGCCAGACAGAAGTGCAGTAGCCGAGCCAACAGGCATGCATTGGGGGTATTTTAAAAAAAATGCTAAGGTGTACTAATACTTGGAGGTACTGGGAGACAAGGCAGCGAGAACGAATCGGGGTAGTTCCAATGCCACTACTCGGACAAGGGTTAATTGTGGGGTTGTAATACATACATACATTAATATTCTTGTTTTTTGTAGATCGCCGTGCCATAGTCTCCCTCCAGGTACGGTAATAGGCGATGTGCATCTCTGCACCCGTTCCCATGTACCCGAACCGCCGCAGCCAATCTACCCAAACTCACTTTTTGTAGCCGTTTGACAGGATGTTTATTGTCAAGTTGTTTGTCTTCATTACATACATGTAGTTAGTTATAACAATACAAATGGCTGACTGCAGACGGGGCAAACGTTCTGGTATTCAATCCACTTGTCCATACAAGAAGCATGTATCTGATGCTGGCAATTGGGATTGTTGGAGTTGTAGATTGGATCGCCCACTTGAAAGCCTTCCACACAAATGGCACAATAAAAGCCATTGTGGCGGGAATGGAAGGATCGACCCACGGGAGGTGCCGGATAGCGATGCTTTGCAGAAGACGCAAAGGTGGGGAGTTCCATGATGGTATCACGACGATCTTCCTCCTCCATAGTGGTAGTAGTATCCGAGTCACGCTTGGTTGTTGTTGTTGTTGTCGCCACAGCTTCAATGTCCACCACGGCTGTTTCGGCGGCATCCATGGAAATCACGGTGTCGGTGGTGGAAGTACTGTTTTTGCTGCTGTTGGCAAGATTACTACCAGTAGTAGCTGCATTAGGAGGCGCTGAAAAGGAACCATGGATAACGCTGCTAAAGGTAATGGTGCTGCCCTTTTGGAAAGCTCTGGTTTGATCATCGGGGTGACACCACGGTTTACACTCCAAGTGATCCTTAAAGTCGGCAACCTTGTCCAGTTCCGCTGCAAAAATGAATGAATCGAAGAATGGAGGGAGGGAGGTAGACGTTAGAAAGAAAGAGGAGAACAACCTTCCCAATATATCTGAGGCATGATCTGATCTTACCCATCTTTTGCGCTTTCAGCCGTCGATCTCGTCGTTTGCAAATGAAAAAGACGAGGACCACAATGGCAGCAGCGAGGACCACAAAGCCAATAAAGAGTCCCACTTGAAGTCCCATTCCGTACTTGACAGAGGGAGCCTCGGGATCTTTATCCCAATGGACAGTCGTCTCATTGCCATTGGTCTCGACTTCCAATTTGTAATCCATCTTTTAAAAAACGTTGTTGATGGGGGTATATTTGCTACTAGCTAGCTAGATAGCTGGCAAGGAAGGAAGGAAGGAAGCAAGGCAAGTCAACGTGTGGAGGTGTATCAATCGGAAGGGATCTGTTCCACAACTTAAAAAAAAAGAGGATGGCACAAAAATGAGGGGGATCTGGTACCGGTGCTAGTAATACTGGTAGTGGGAAGCGGATCCGGAGGAGGACAAGTCCAGTGAGTCATCTACAGTAGAAACTGGGGAACTTCAGAAAAGAATGACTCTCCTCAGTATTCCATTGCTGTCATCCATAAAGGTTTAGTGATTACTGCTCTCTGAAATGCTGGGGAGTTTTCTCCTACAGGAACAAAGAACCGGCCAGTCAACCAATCGTTGCTGTTGGTGTGGGTACCAGTACATGTACAGCCAGGAGAGCTGTTTGTCCCCTACCGTATGTCGAGTCGAGTCAGCAACTCGGGCTCTTCTCTGATCCAGCTACCTGGTGCTGGTACCCGTACGGTGCAGTATCAGTACAGTCAAGGTGACAAACTAACTTATCCTGCCAGAGGAGTTGATCGCAATGATGCCTTTAGGGACAATTTTGAGGTTTAAACATTGTGCTAGCACAAGCAAATTGCTAGACACTGCAAGCACAGTCACTGCCACAGAGCAAGCTAGTAGTGCAATCAAGTGAAAACCCAGATGGCTGAGGAGACTCAAGCAAGCAAGTGCACCCAACAATGTTGGTGTTGTTCCATGCAGCCTGCAAGTTGCAAGCTGTTTGAGTTCAGTTGGAATCTGTGTCATACAGGGGCAACCATTCAAGTGAAATTGCTTAGCCAATCTCTGAGGGGAGTGTGCCTCTGCGAGACAAAAAGTAAGGGATATCATAGAGGGTGGCAGGGGGATGAGCAAACCTCCTCATAGCGCTAGATTGCATTGGTTAGGCAGCATGATACCATATGGTGCTAGCTAGTACCTCCGTTGTTACCGGTACGTTGACACAGATTGATCAACTGACTCAACTAACTAAAAAGTCCGTTGAAAACTTAAAATGCTCATTTTTATCAGCAAATACGTTTAATTGGATTGGATTAGTTTGAATTGCATTGGATTGGACTGGATTGGGTTCAATTAGATCCAGAAACGTACTGTTATTTGTATAGGAAATACCAATTCAATGCAATCCAATCCAATTCAATGCAATGCAATCCAATTCAATGCAATGCAATCCAATTCAATGCAATCCAATCGAAAATAACCAGAAAAAGCCAAAAATTTGATTCCTTTTCGCCCAAACTGTACCTGCAGGGTAACGTACTAGTACCATACTGTACAAGGACTTTCTTGGTACTGTAGTGTGGCATCTGACCCAAACTATCAGTGTTACGGTATCGAGTAGAGCACACTACAGCACTATAGCAACATTTGCTCATCCCCCAGGAAGATATACCTGTGAGGCCACAGCCAGCCACAGAGGGAGAACCTACACCGTGCCACATCCACGCCATCACAACTTTCTATTGCTCTGGGTCCCAGCCCTCCCATGTCTTTTTTAGCTTGCACCTGTGCTCCTGCCTCCCACGTGGAACCTCTTGACCCCTTCCCCCACTACTTTTAAGCTGACGTCACCTAGCTAGCGTGCCACAGCTCTCCCAGCATTATCCACTATAACCATATTATTATTATTATTATTATTATTAGGTGAACCCATCAGAATCGAGAACCGAATCAAATTTTCAATCTGGATCACAGACAGCTAGCTAGCAAAGGGAGCCAAAGGCTCCCATAGAAATAGTAGCTTCAGCCAATCTGATGTTGATCGAGTCTTCTGATAGTATTGCTCGTGCCGCTGCCGCCAATAACAGTGCTAGCAACAATAAGAAACAGAAAATGTCTCCTCCCTTCGATTCTCTGCAGCTGGGTGGTGGTGACCTTTTGATCCAAGGCATTCTTCCGTTTGTGGGTGTTGGACAGTACGCTTTTGTAGGAGCTGTCAACAAAAAAAAACTGAACGTCTAATAACGGATTCAGACGAGATGTGCTTGAGGACTACCCACGAGCTAGGGCTCGGGTATTTCCCACAGTCAAGTCTGCTCACCGGCCACACTGGCCTCCTGAGAGGGTGCGACGCCTGTTAGCTATCTAAGGATTTGTACACTGAGGTCAGAGCCATGATTCACCACAAATCACGAGCTGTCAACAAGAAGATGAATCAACTGTACAAAGACTACTGTGAGACTGAACTAAAGAAAAATCCAAGAAAGGTACAGGATAACCCTGGACGGCGTTCTCCTAGACGCTCTGCAGAAAGCACCGATACTCTTTACAGTGAAACGTTCTGTAACATGACACGTACAGAATTCTGGTTCAGGGACGATTCCACCAATAAGAAGCCTGATGGATATCATCTTTGCACTGCAATTGCCAGAATTGGAAATATTATGATCATGCAGTGGGCTCGACAAAAACGATTCCCATGGGATGAGTGGACGTGTGCTGAAGCCGCTTTGAATGGACAGCTGGAAATGCTTCAATGGCTGCATGCAAATGGGTGTCCATGGGATGTCTGGACATGTGCTCATGCTGCCACATATGGCCATTTGGAAATTCTCCAATGGTTAAGAGAGAATGGTTGTCCATGGGATGCTAGGACATGTGGATTTGCTGCTGGAAATGGCCATTTGGAAATTCTAAAGTGGGCTCGTGCAAATGATTGTCCGTGGGATATGCACTACGCTAAAAGCTAGTGTAAAGAGATCTTTCGAGTGTTTTGAGTTTGAGAGAATGAAAGTTATGAGAGGATTAGAATGCTATGAAAACTAATCAACGAGAGAGATCCACAATCAAAGGATCGTAGATCTGAACTCCCGCGGGAGAGATCTGAACTCCCGCGGGAGACTGTAGAGTGTGATAGAGTAGGTTGCGGTAGCAATCCTACACGATCCAAAAACGGAACGCGTGGAAGATTCGTCTAGCATTTATCTAGTAGCGTGGAAGTACTCCACGCTGGCTAAATATCTAGAGCGATGTTTCATCATCAACCTAGTATGACTAGAGCGGTCATTGAGAACCCTGTCTCCAATGACTATTCGCGAAGGACTACGTCATGAGTCGAACTCAGACCCTATCTAGGATCGAGTCGCGAATAAGGCTAAGAGCCGTGTATTGCAGATGCTAGGACATGTGCTAAAGCTCCGCTTGACGAGCAAATGGCAAAGGGCCCAGGCGACATCAAAGCGTGGCTTGCCAATTGGCTGCCCGTTGTCGACAAGGCACTCAGGGACGAGCATGCACGCACAATGCAGAACAATGCCACAGGGTAACTATGCACAAAGGGGGTCTTACCGTAGAAATAGATGGCAATCCAGCCACGGGTAGTTAGTTAGCTGCAAAGCACCCTCCGGAGTTTTTAAACTTCTCCGGTGGGGGGCTTGCACTAGGCCGGTTCCTATGTGGGCGTCCTTGTACGTCTGAGGTACTCCGGTTCAATATGGCTCCGTTCAGCGGGTGGTCTATTGAGGTGCAGCCTAAATAATAAAACTTCGTAATTTTTTTTAGGACATGTGCTAAAGCTGCTGGGGGTGGCCATTTGGAAATTTTAAAGTGGGCTCATTCAAATGGTTGTCCATGGGATGTTTGGACATGTTCTGATGCTGCTAAAAAGGGGCATTTGGAAATTCTCCGATGGTTAAGAGTGTTGTGGTGACTAGGGAGGAACCAGGTCCCAGTGCCTATATGGCAACTACAATACCTATGGATGGTCCTCTTATCTACTCCTAGCACAGCTTCAATCAATTCAGCTAGATTAAAACAAAATTATGTCTATTTCTCTGTGGATTCTCCAAATCCAATGGACCCGACTGAGTCACCAACATTTAGTCTTGTTTCTCCTGTGACTCTTTCCCAACACACTCCTGTGCATCCGAACTTGGTGGAGGCACCATCGTTTGGCATGTTCAAGATGAATGCCCTGTGCTCGCGGAACTTGCCCCCTTGTAAAGGCTTGGTGAAGAAGTCGCCCTTCATGTCACCCGTTGGACAATATTCCATGGATAGCTCACCATTCTTGATTCGGTCCGCAACAAAAAAATATCGGATGTTGATGTGCCGCGTCCTACGACCACTCGATGCTCTTCCATTCTTCGATAGCAACATCGTGCTTTGGTTGTCCTGGTAGAGAATGTTGTCGCTAACCTCGTACCCTTGTGCTTCAAGGAAGTATCTTGTCCATAGTATCATCGGCATGGCATCGTCCACACCAACCAATTCTGCTTCTGTAGAACTCTTCGTGTTCAATTTCTGCCGTGTTGAAGACGAGTAGACGCAGCCCTTGCCAAGTGACATGGTCGCCCCTGTTTGACTTCTCATGTCCTTGTGGACCGCGTATGATGCATCCACCCACCATTTCACCACGCTAAGACTTTCGGCTTCCAAGGTCAGTGCCAGATGCGGGTTGTCGCGTAAGTACTTGATGACACGTCCGAGCTTCTTGTAGTCGTCCCCATCAGGGCCCTTTACTCGTGTGGTCAGGAACGCGACTGCTTGCTGCAGATCGGGCCTGGCCCTCTTCGAGATGAACAGCAGCTTTGCCACCATCGAGTGAAAGTACTCCGAGTCTTCCTGACTCAGTTTGGTTGCACCATCGTCAATGTCAAATAGATGTTCAGCGGCTGGTGTTGCCGCAACACCTCCCATGTCTGCTCGTGCTTCTTCGAGAATCTCATCTGCGTATTAGTCCATTCGAATGGATACCTTCCCTGGCACAGTGTAGTCGATTGTCATGCCCAGGTATTCATGCACCCTTCCTCGAGTGGTCGTGAGTGGTGCTTCCTTTCCATACCTTGCATTTAACGCATTCAGTATCCTATCCACCACCTTTGGGTCGATGTGGGATATCTTCAGGTCATCTACGTGCCATAGAATCGTACATTGCTTGCCATCTATCACAGCATTGGCCACACAATCGTCGTACGGGTTTCGGACGAAACCTTCTCCCTCAAGAAAACCAACAAGATCCTTCCAGAATAGCATGGCCGCTTGCAGGGTCCCATACAAAGCCTTCAGCAGCTTGACATAGATCACCGGTTTCCCTCTTTCGTATGTGATGTACTTGTCGTATAGCTTGTTGTCAACCTTGGCCAATAGCAGCGCGATTGGCCCCGTGAATCGCACATGGATGAGCTCATCCATATCGGCCTGCATGAAAGCTCCAGGAATGTCAGTCGTTGCGACGTCCCTTCCTTCCGTCGCATCTATCACACATGATAGGAAGAGCGACTCAGTCATCACGGTTGGACTGCTTGTCTCATGCTTTGATTTGTAGATTCGTTGTTTCCTGCCGTCTGCGCATCCACGTCCCTTAATTTTGCCACATCGCTTCTTCTTGAGGAACATCAGATACTCCAGCGATTTTCTCTTTTCCTCTGGTGTAAGGAGCGCCGCCTTCACCGGCTGTCCCACCTCTCTGTCGTGTAGCTGTTTCATTTCTTTGATGACGGCCTCAGCTCCCGGTTCACCGAAAACCTTCAGGCCCTTGTTCACGGAATATTGGGTGTGAGCAACGTGCTCCAGCAGAAATTGAGTCATTATCTGCTCGGTAGGGGCACCTGTCTGTGACATGAGGACTTGAGTCATCGTATGGTCACTAGGCTGCGCCAGGTAGAGGTGTTTGCTGTATTCTCTTTGCTTACGCTGTCGCAAACCCTGCCTGGTCCTTTGGCCATACATCTCATCCATGTCATTTGGTGGCACTCCTGTAATTCTGGCCTGTTGCCGTGATGTAGGTTCTGACTGTGTAGTCTCACCGTCATTGTTTCCATCCTCACCCGTTGGATCATCAGCCTCTGTCTGTGGGTTGTCGTCATCAATTCCTTGGTCGTATGTAGAGCCGTCATCATCAGAGGACTCTTCTTCGTCGTGTTGCAATGGTTGGTTGTTGGCGTCCGCATCATTGTCTTCTTGCGTGCCGTCGCTCTCGTCCTCTTGCTCATCTTCATCTTCACTTTCGTTGTCATTTTCTTCGATGCTTTCTAGTGCACTCACTTCGTGCTGATGCATGGGTACCACTCCTGCGGGGAGTCCATCCACGGACTCCTCGCCATCTGTGTAGTTGTTGTCACTGTCCAGAGCCGGATCATAGTCAGGGTCAGCCATAGTGTCGTCGAATTCATCATCCGCTTCATCTGTAATTTCGGTAGCATCTCGCCAGCCGAATGTAAGGCCGGCAGCAGCTTTGTCACGGGTCGCGAAGGCATGCACCCGATTGATCACGTCGTGAGGCATTGGGAGCTCCGTCCAGCGCTTGTGATGGATGCGGTGCCCCGTAGACAGGCTGAGGAAGTAGTAGCTGCCCTGGGATCCATTGGATGGACGCAGAGCGATGGCACCGATCGTTCGGGAGCCCATGCCGTTGTCATGTTCCTCGTGCGTCTGAACGTACGTGCCACATTCGAGTTTACAATGGGTTTTGTAATCCACCTTCGCCCCAGTCACAATGGTCCGCGGACTAAGGGTAGTAGAGGCACCACGCTGTGGTGGGAACATATTGAGCCACATGACAGCGTTGGTCACCATCTCAATGATGAACCGATTGGGCAATTTTTGGAAAGGCATGACGTTCCACATCGCTCGGGAACGCTCCTTGATAGTCCGGATGTACCGCTCGATTTCTGGCACATGCTCATCCTCGGCAACAGTCTCGAGGCCGATGTGCTTTGTTGCGTTATCATCAAGTAGCAGTGACCGAAGAGGCTCAAATTCCCCGTCCGCATGGATCTCCTTCAGACGGAAGCCTCGGCTGGTATACACCTGGTTGACTTTCCGAACACCTTCGGCAATCGTGGTTATCTGACGATTTGGTAGGTGTTGGATGGTCCCAAAACGGATTCCGTGGGAGAGTGTCGTCAGGAAAGGAACCTTGTTCACGAACATGATGTCCACCGCTAGTGTGATGTGCCTGTGTCGCTCCAGGATTTCGGGGGGGATCGGCATCACTGTCGTTATCTGCACTCCTGCAGACCGACGTACCGTCTTTCCTTTCAATGATCCGAGGTTTGGACCGAAAATGTCCTCTGCCGCCATGATGTCCTCTCGTGTCACCGGACAGTTTGGTAGCAGGTTGTTGTCAATGATCTTCAAGTAGTCGCGAAGGGACGGCCGTCCTATCATATTTTGTATCTTTCGGGCTAGTTCGGCTTTACGGTAGGCGTTAACGGAGTAGTTAGAGCTTTTATCGGCTACAGTATTAATCAGGGCGACCTGCTGATCACTCCTGGGATCAGGACTGTCTCCACTCCTGTGATCCGAGCCGTCGTCATCTTTTCCATCTGAATAGAACAAGCCGTTCTCTGACCGTCTAAAAGTACGGTTGCCACTGCTCTTGTGCACCACGAACTCTCCCTTCTGGTAGGTGATCGGGAAGTGTTCTTCGACTCTGGCAAAAGACAAAATGTTCGCCACGCCGTCGGGCATGTACCAGACGGGTTCCGGGAAACCCGGTAGATCACCGATCAAGTCAGTTGTTGCCACTCCTGCGTTGCATTGCACCTTGACCATACCGGTGCCCTTACGGATGTTCCGAAGCATTTTTTCGTTGCAGAAAATGTTCACGGTACTGCAGTTGTCGAGTAGAATCCAGGTCCGTGGGATCCTGCTCCTGTTGTTGAACAGGGCCGTGTTCACGATGACGAACGAGAAGTCAGACAGTTCTCCTTCTTCGTACGCGTTCATCAGTAGCTGGACGCCCTCGGCGTCCGTATCTCCTCTGGATGGGCATTTGTCCGAGTAGTGTCCGTGTTTGTTGCATTTGTGGCACTCGATGTGGGCGAATGTCTTCCCATTTGTTCCAGGAATCACTTCCGCACCATCTGATGTGAACGCAACCTCAGTGCCTGCTCCCGCGTGCGCATGTGATGAATGTTGTCGGCTTCTGCCTTTGATGTGGTACGCATCCAGGCGGGCGTAGGCATCGTCGAGCGTCTTGGGGTAGTTGTTCTCCCCCCTCGTGTAATCATTCTCCAAGTCGATCGTCAGTTCTCCATACCTTTCTTGGTCCGAACCGGACAAGAACATGACGCTCAATGTCATGTCACGTACAGTCGCAATTGCCTTGGCCATCTCGTCAGCTGACGCGTCGCTTATTGTTGTGCCCGTTGGTAGTGCGGCTTGAATCAGGGTCGTTTCGTACCCGAAACATCCCCCATTGTGCTCAGTCGCTTCCACTTTCTGTTTGAACATCCGATAGTACTCCCCTACGGTCAAGCTTCCCTGCCGGAAGTTGATCACGCGGCGCTTGCTCTCCAATATGGCAAGTGGCTGGTACTTTCGGGTCTGGAACTGTAGCATTACGGTCCGTATGGATTGGAGGAGCCCGATCACGTTTGCACTGGTGCTCATCGTTTCGAAATCGGCGCTGCTCTTCACTTTTGTACGTATATTGTCGCTGCACTGTCCCCATATGAGGGAGAAGGCATTCTGGCGGTTCTCCCTGAGCTTGTCACGGCCTTTCACGAAGGCGGACACCTCCTGTTTGAATATTTCCTTGTCCACATCATCAGTGGATGGGGTTCCGTCTGCTGCGGTTGGCACTGTGGGCTTGGCCAATTCTTGGAGTTTCAAAGACTCAATTTCCAGCCTGGTGTAGTTCCCTTTTGTGTAGGTCCGGCCCACGAACTCAGCTATTTCCATGGTCGTATCGTAGAACGCTGCTGCAGTTGCGGACGGTGTGGACAGGTCATATACGTGACCCTCAAGCGTAGTGGATCTTCCAGCAAACTTCTTTGGGGCTGGGGCACTCTGTCTTCGGCCTCCAAAACCTCCAAAACGTCCTCTTCCGGCACGTTCACCCCTGCCACGACCTCCACTCCTTCCACCGGAGTTGCTGGTAATGCCAGACATACTGTCACCTCCGGTCGTCGTGGCTCCCGAGGAACCGGTTCCACCGGAGCCTCCGGGCTCACTGGCACTCATTGCCCTTCTGACCGGCTGCGGTCAATCGCCTCACTTGTCTCGCGATAGTAATTTTGTTTTAATGTTGTGGTGACTAGGGAGGAACCAGGTCCCAGTGCCTATATGGCAACTACAATACCTATGGATGGTCCTCTTATCTACTCCTAGCACAGCTTCAATCAATTCAGCTAGATTAAAACAAAATTATGTCTATTTCTCTGTGGATTCTCCAAATCCAATGGACCCGACTGAGTCACCAACATTTAGTCTTGTTTCTCCTGTGACTCTTTCCCAACAAAGAGAGAATAGTTGTCCATGGGATGTTAACACATGTGGATTTGGTGCTGGAGGTGGCCATTTGGAAATTCTAAAGTGGGCTCGTGAAAATGGTTGTCCATGGGATGCTTGGACATGTGCGAATGCTGCTAAAAATGGGCATATGGAGATTCTCCAATGGTTAAGAAAGAATGGTTGTCCATGGGATGTTAGGACATGTCGCCATTCTGCTAAATATGGTCATCTGGAAATTTTGAAGTGGGCTTGTGCAAATGGTTGCCCATGGAATGCATCAACATTATATCGCACTGCCCGCATGGAAAACCAAAAGGAAGTGATCCAGTGGCTACGTGACAATGCTTGCCCTGGGTCTCATGATGGAGGACACTAATAAATTTTAAAACTCGAGAAGATCAGGTATGTCTGTAGGCAATCGAAATGTTGCTAGGATTGTCTTGACAGGTTTGCATCGAGTGGAGGTGTTGGTTGCAATGAGCCAGCCATCATAGCGTAGATCACGACTAATAGCTTAGATAGATCCTACTACTCTACAAATTGAGAGTTGCAGCGTCAATTTTGCTCGTGTCTTCGTGCACCCTTTGAGAACTCCCTTTTGGAAGTTCCGTGCCACCAGCCACACAGCCAAGTACTCCCGAAAACTCATCCTGGAAATGGTACTGCGAGGAAGAGCACTTCTAGCTGCAGCTACAATAGTAGATTGCTGTTGCGTGGCTCTCTTCTTGGATTGGTGTGGCGCCGCCTCTCTAGCTAGCTGCATGCTTGGCAAGCAACCTGGAGCCTTCCGATCTCCCTTCGTTTTGGTTCCAGACTTAGCTATGCATAGATAATAATTGTAGAATGATGTGCGATACCACCGGTGCGTAGCTATCATAGTACGACTGTAGTGAGAAAAAGGCTATGGTTGCGGCAGCAATGGCCACAAGGCCACGTACCGTACCAAACCTCGCCCACTATCTATCATGATCCTTGAACATTTATTTGGTCTGACACTACCATGCATCCTCGCTCGAGCAAACCCAAACTACATCTACTTTCCCTCCGGGGAGGGGAGTGCCTCAAACCAACTCATTGTTTCTTTTGTTATCTTCTCCCATCTTCCTGTTAAATTGGCCAAGCCCTTTAAGTAAACTTAATACTATTTACCGTTTTTGACCACCTTCAACCGCCTGAAACCACCTTCGACCGCCTGTTTTACCGCTTTTTACAGCCGGTTTACCGTCATCGACCACCTTCAACCGCTCTTCACCACTCTCAACCGCTCTCGACCGCTGTGTCCGTTGTGCCTATTTTCAGGGATCTCTTGAAAGACAGTATTCAGGTGGTTGGGGATATATTGGAACAGTGAAGATTGCTTTGAGGCACTCTCCCGTCTTGGCAACCAAGAATCTCTGTGCGGATTGAATAGATTTGGAAGGAGAAATGACCAGCGAAGGTGACTGGTTAGCTCTGGTTGGTGAGGTACTCAGGGTGTGGGACTCACATGAAATACACGCTGCGTGTACTCGATGTGAGTACGGGTACTGAGTACTGAGTATACTCAGTACCCATACTCACATGACCTCAGAAAATGTGAGTATTACTCAGTACCCGTACTCACATGACTCCGGATTTTGAGTACTTTTTGAGTCTTCGGTGAGTACTTCGGTGAGTACTTCGGTGAGTACTTCGAAGTGAGTACCAGTGAGTACAAGAAAGAGTTTTCAGTTCTTGTACATGGTTTGATGGAAAACTCAGCAATGGACAGAAGGTTGACATGACATTCCAAATGCGCCTTCTTTGCTACAAGAACAGTGCATTCATCCAGAACTACAAGCAAAGGAATGGGCTAAGAATAGGACCAAGGATCTCCTCAAGCTAACTGCCAGCAGATGTGAAGAGGAGGATTATGACAGTGATATTGATGCCATGGTGGACCTTTACAACAAGATTGATGAGCCCCCAGCCCAGAACTAGAAAAACCTAGATAATTTCCCTAAGTAATTGATTTATGAGTACTCAGTGAGTACTCTATAGTACCCACAAAGTACCTGTACTCACATGATACCCGTACTCACTTGACCCTGGGAATTGTGAGTATTACCCAGTACCCATACTCATTTGACTTTGGAATTGTGAGTACTACTCAGTACCCATACTCACATGCTAAAACAGTGTGAGTACCACGCCCTGGAGGTACTTGGCAGTTAGTTAGTTGTGGTCAGAAAGTAGATGTCTTGGACCACTCGGACGATTGTCTCTTATAGTAGCTACGATTGTACCATTTACGGCGAACTTAGAATGGGTAAGAATATGATTAACTGATCAAGGTGAGTGATAATGGTGTTGTTTCCTTGGATAAAGATGGTGGTTGAAGTGATTAATTCATCATTAGATGATCATATGATCCAGTCATGCTGTTGTAGAAACCAATTATAGCTTTGGATGATGAGTCGAGTAAGAAGAGTCATGGAACAATCTGGTACAGTATTAGTGGCACGCATGTACGTAGAACCTTCGTGTGACCACCAAACCACCAACCCAACGTAAGAGTTAGTGGTTGAAGGGTATCAAAGTATCAAACTGAAGGAGTGCAGTGCACTGTGCAGTAAAAGCCCGAGCGAAGCACAGCTCGGCGGCACAGGCATACGGAGTGGAAGACTGTATGACACAGTACCGGATGCAGATGCCAAGAGTCATTAGTGTCGGCCGTCGACCTTCGAATTCTCAAAGAGAGAGTCAGAGCACAGCTAGCTACCAGCTAGCTAGCAAGCTCAAAGCACACAGAAGAAGCAGGAAAGAGCGAAACCGCACAGCCCCCTGAAGCCACAGCACAGCAATACAATCCTTCATCCATCATCCGATCAGATTGTCAAGATCACTTTGCAGAGTAAGAATATCCTATTCATTCTATTCATTCCCTTGAGTTATCTACCCGTATACCCCATTATCTATATTCATATATTCCACCCGACGAAAGCTACCCCAAAAAACTACCCTCCAGCTACCCATTATTATTATTATCTCCTCTACGGTATTGGACGATGCACGCCGTAATGGCTCCTTCGAGCGTCAATGTGAATGGCGAAAATGGCGGCCGTAGTCGCAGCCATTCTCCTGTCAAGCCCCCAGAAGACGACAGTCCTGTGGTTGTTCGACGTCGAGGTCGTGACGTTAACGGTGCTACTGCTTCATTACGAAGACCCAAAGCCATTACGGCCAATCGTCGTACGAAAAGCTCGGATCATGCCCCCAAGCAAAAGTCTTCCTTATTACAAGATTATACCCGAGGTCATGCCAGTGTCGGGACGTATGCTCCCAAACGACGCACGAGCAACAGTCCCGAAAGTCGTCTCCTGCAAAAGACCTCGATCATGAGTGCTCCTCAGAGTAGTCCCGTCATGACCGACTTGCCCCAACGACGCTACCCCAAAGCCAAACCGAAACCGGGCGAACTCCTCGATTTCAGTGGTCTCCTCAGTGATACATCCGACTCGACACACAACACCATGAACGACGATTCCGGACAATCCGTCGAAGAATTGATTCAATTTCGAGTGCGAAATCCAAATACCGTCACGGCCAAACCACCTCCACCTCCGCCACCCCCAGCACAACCGCCGCAACCACAACAACTCATTGCCGCATCTCTGCTCGCAGGACGCGGTCAAGGACTCGATGCCATTGTCGAAGAAGACAAACAAATGAATCAGAGTCGTTTCAGCATTACCAGTGTCAACCAGCACACTAGTAGTATGGAAAATATCACCTCTTCCAATCATTCCACCATTAGTTCTGCCAGTGGAGGATCGTCCACCCATTCCCGAGGATTGTTGCCCGGATCCTCTCATCACAGTTCTGCCGGATCATCGTCGCATCACTCTCGCAAGAGCAGTGCGTCGTCGTCGTCCTCGCATCATTCCCACAAGAGCAACAACAACAAACCCTCGTTGTTGGGACGATTGGACGATTCGTGCACGTCCTTTGCCGATGATAACGAATTTCTCAATGATCACACCACCAAGACGGGGAATGTTCGAGGAGAGAATGTGCCCTCTCTGTCCAAGTACATGAATGATACCAGTAACACGACCACATCTACACGCGGCAGTTTGGCCAGTGTCTCTATTGATCCCAACTCGCTCTTCCATCTCAAGAATGGGAATGGTGGCAGCAATCACAATCCTCATCATCATCATCATCATCGAGACAGCAATGCCAGTCATACGACACAACGAGACTCTTTGCAAAGTGCTGGGACCTACAATACCCGTGATAGCACTGCGACTTACAACACCCGAGACAGTATGGCGACTTACAACACCCGAGACAGCACCGCGAGTACGTTTAATCCACGAGATAGTACGAAGAGTACTGCAACAGCGAGCACATTTAATCCTCGCGGCAGTCACAACTCGACCACCAGCATGCGTCCCAGTCGAGATTCCATTCTCATGGGAAAACCAAGTGCCAACTTGATTCGAGAGAGTTTGGTATCACCGCCCCATTCTCCCAAACCACCCACTAGTAGTGGAACCGCGGCGCCTCTACATCCCACGGCACGATTGTTACAAGCCGCTGCCAAAGCGGTCGAAGCACCACCCCAGAAAAAGGGAGGTCGACGTCAACGACGTAATACCGCCACCGAACATACTCCCAACAACAGCACGTCTTCCGATAATAACAACAAGAACAACAACAAATTGCCCGGTCTACGACGCACTCAAACGGCCGATACCAGTGGAAACAAATATCACGGTACAGCAGGGGATCCTTCGATGGAAGGGAGTGGTCGTATCAAACGAGGATCGACACTCTCACGCAGTAACAGTGGTGACGATCATCCGGACGGTACGATGGATGACAGCGGGGCCGATAATAATATTGGTAGTAGTGCTAGAAGTCGGGGACGGAATCCCCTGCGTCGCAGTCAATCCAGTGATGGATGTGGTTCCGGACCACTCGGGCGAATGCGACGGGCCGGACGCCGCAACAACAACAATACTACTACGGACGGCGAAGTTCCTCGCCTGCCGGTCCGCACCAAGAGTAGTGATGGCAGCGTGAGCAATTTGAATATGCGTGGACGTGCGTTGCGTCGATCGGCGACGCAAGGAGATGGAGGAGGAACAATGGATGCATCCGAAATACGACGCAATGGATTTCGACGTTCCAAATCGTCCGTCGAAGATAAATATGGTGATGGCAGTGACAATAATGGTGGTGGTCCCCGATCCTTGTCACCGACACGACGAGGCGGTGGTGGGAGCAGCGCAAAAGATACGAGTTTTGGTGCCAACCATCAATCGACATTCAATGCCAGTCGTATCAAGCGATGGGACAAGGATGAAGTTCGAGAGATGGGTCTGAGCACGAGCAACTTTGGTGGACATGAATTTGAAAAAATGCTCAAGAGTGTCAGTGCTGGATTGTATCATTGTTAATTGATTGATTTAATTGATGATGATGAGAGGTAGCAAACAGTGCTCGGCGATGGTCTCTTGTGGAGTTCCCATTCTATTTCGTTGCTGCTTGGAGCAAATACGAGAAGATGGAGAACGATCACAAGGGACTAGCTAGTCACAGCACCCAATTCAATTCACTCGACAACGCACTCGACAACCTGGTGCGTTGCTGCGCAGGAAGAAGCGATACGAAAGCCAATAATAGAGACAGAAGTAGAAATTAAAGTGTACCTCGGACTTTGACTGGACGATCAGTTGCAACTTTTTGGAGGCCACACATCCAGAAACCTTGATACCGTACCATCAGGGCCCACCGTAGCTAGGCCTGCTAGATCCCCAGGTAAAGGCACATCTACATGTAGCTAGTAGGAGAGGGGCGAGGTGTTGGTACGTGCTTGGGTCCTGGGGTGAGCCTTGGGCGAGATGAATCGAATCCTCAAAGTGAACCTTCCAAAGCGGGCCTTGGTTTCTACATACATGTACTTGGAGTCACAAGCCCATCCAGGCTAGCTAGGTGTTGTTCGCGAACATGGCCTGAGAGTCGGGCTTGATTGAGAAATCAGGGCCAAGTGATCTTAGCTACTACTACTGGATCTCGCAAAGCCAAACCATTTGGCCCCCGTACTGGTCCTCAATTTCTTGCCCCTGATCCCACAGAACCTCTAGCTAGTCCTGAATTTGGACTGTTCTTTGCTTAAGCCTGGCCCCGGCTGGCTTCGGTAGATAATTTCCCTACTCTAATCCCCCCACTACTAGTATGGTAGTAGATCTACATGTCTTATCGACCTGGACGCACTCTGGCTCCGTCTCGACGTCCCAACAACCAAAGACCACAACGCACAGCTAACACAACACGGACGTCGAACATGCATCAATGGTTGTAATGAAGAGCTCATTGTTTTGACAGAAGATGTATGGTACCGTGAATAAGCTGCTGTTAATTGTACTTGCCTACCTGAATCTTTGTAGTAGTCTTATTTGTGAGAGTTTCCAGGTTGCTCCTTCTGTTTCTTCTGTCCCTGCTACCGTTCTAAATCTTGCCACCACAACAAGCACCACCACCAGCACCATGACAACGGTTGCCTCATCCATGCCACATTCTTCAGCAAAAGAAATTCCCATCTCGCAACAATCTTCCATTTTGGCACATCGCATTCAAGCATCTTGCAAGACGGTCGCACAAGCCATGGAATGGATGGATCAGCAACGACCAGCAGCAACAACTACTAGAACAGAAGCAGAGTGGGAAGATGCCTGGATAGCCGTGGTCCAAGTGTGTGCCAAACATCGAAACTGGCAACAAGCCGTGGATATTTGTCAAAATCGCATCCCGGCGTCAGAGCAATGTCGTTCCATGGCCATTTCCATTTGCGGACGGTGTCAGCAAATCACAGCAGCCTTGCAATTATTATTAGACACTCCACACTGTGTCAGTATAACAACACCGGCTCCCTACAATGCTGCCATTGCGGCCTGTGGTACCAATCGGGCGTGGAAAGAAGCGCTCGATATTATTTACGATCGCATGCCACGATCCATGGTCACTTCTCTGTCCGCCAATGCGGTCTTGACGGCATTGGCCAAATCTCATCGAGGAACCGAAGCCCTGCAATTTTTGAAGGAGGGATTTGACACCTTGGGTGTGGCACGAGATCGCATTAGTTATCATCATACCATGGCGGCTTTAATGGGACAGGGGCATCTCGATGATGCCGTGCAGTTGGTCTTGACGGATATGCAACTCGATAAGGATGTACAACCCAATCAAGAAACCTTTGACCGGTTATATGGAGCCGTTGTCAGTAAACGCGGGAGTACAAAGGACGATGATGCCCAGCGAGAGCACTATGACAAACTTTTGGACCAATTGCAACAAGCGGCACAACAAGTGGATCCAGAGGAAAATGACAAGAGTGCAAGGAAAAAGAAGAAACGAAAGCATTGTTCCGAAGATACCAATACAACAACAACACAACCTTCCAATAATGATAAGCGACCCAAGACCACTATTATTCCACAATCACAATCACCACAACCAAGAAACCATGACATTTGGAACTTTTGCAAGTGGGAGTTGCCCAAACGGGGCAAGGGAAAGACTTCCTTTTGGCACTTGGGGACCATCACCAGCAACGACAACGACAACGACAACAACAACAATGACACCATTCTGGTAGGGTTGCATCCGAATCGCAATCCAAGCAAAAATGGCATTCAACTCTGGTTCTTTCGAGAGGACAACAATCCGTCTCGACGGCGACCACGACAAAAAATTGGGTTCCTACTCATGATCAATACGCCAGGATATCAGCAGCATCAAAATGATGATAATGATTCATCAACAATGGGCAAGAGTCAATTATTGGGACTCAAAGTCACCGAGGATGGAGATCGGCGTAAGGGATGGGCCAAAATCTTTCTCGCCATTTGGTTGCAGTGCTGTGTAGATGCCAATCTACAACCGTGTACGGGAAAAATGAACAAGCCATTGCTGTGTCTGGTGCTGCAGCATTCCTTCCACTTTACACCTGTTCCACTCTCCGGAGGAGTACGAGCCCGTATTTTGCCGCCATCGGGGGATGACACGTCTGTGGTACGATTGACCACCGACTCGTCGTCCGTCAAGAATTTAGCCGGCGCCTTGACACCACGGGATGTCCAAGAACAAAACATTCAACTGGTGGCACCTACGGATGTTGTTGTTGTGGAATCATCAGGTGGTCGAGTGATTGAAGTGGGAGGTTTGTTGCAGCCACCGGCATGCAAGCTGGAGCTTCAAGAGAGCATTGATGGAGTTCTGGGCAAGAATCAATGGGAGTTGACGGCAGGCATCATCAAGGCTGGGGATGACACTGCCACTGCTGGCAGCAATAATAATGCTGAGGGTGGTGAGCAGAGGACATCCCACAACGACAATGTGAAGCAGAATGGTGCAGCCCCCTTGACCATGTCTAGACTCTTCCTTGGTGTCTAGAGCTACCGGTAGCTGGCTGGCAGTGCTGGCTACTATAAGGTGTACTCCGTATTTGACAACTGGGGCGTCAGCTAGTTTGGTTATTAGCTGGCTGCTTGCATGGTTGGGATGTTTGGATTGGTACCTGGAGGTTGGATATGCCTAGAATTGCCCCTTTCCCCTTGGTTTCGAGTTCAGCTGTTTCTGTCTCTGAAGAGTGGCTGATGTTGACGCGGGAGTGGGTGGTGGTCCTCGGGCACGGTACGGTGTGTACGGTATGGAACGGGATGGTCATTGGTTTTCTTGGCCAAGCTCGCAAGCTAGCTAGAGACAGGGCGCTAGATAGATCTACTGCTAGCTAGCTAGCTATCTAGCAGTACGACCAGCCGATACGGTAGCACCACCGATCCCATCCACCGCCCCATTGGCCATTGATAAAAAGAGTCATAGACAGACGAAGCCATGGCGATCCAACGGCCTCTCGGTCTTCGAAGCCTCGCCGAATTCCCTCCTTTAGTTTGTTTCACCGTCTTAGCTAGCTTACGGTAAAGCTTCTCAGCATTTCGGTTGCAAATGGTATAAGCAGTTTGCTTTGTAAACTTCGAATTTGGACACGCTGAGGAGAGTGCTCTGAGATTCGCCGTTGCATGCTTCGCTTCCAAACTCCCACGCACTCACAACATACTAGTACTAGTATATTCCCATTGCCCTCACCTTGACACCACTTTCTTCCCCCGAGCTTTTGGAGTTCAGAGCACAAGAACAAGAGCTGTACAAGCACCAGACAATTCTATTGAACATATCTATCCTTTGATCTCTATTAAAGTCTAGCCCACCAAGATGTCGGAAGTAGTTTCGAATAGTACCACTGCGGCGCCCAGCTCGACGGGGGAAGATCCCGAGGAATGGTCGTTGCTGTTTTACTGGGGCATGTTTATCGGGATGTTTCTGTTGTCGATGCCGCTTGTGATACTGATTCTATGGTCTTGCAATCGACAAAATAAAAAGATTCGAGAGCACAAAAAACGAGAAGCAGAAAAGGAATTGTTGCACCAAGAACAGTCGGGTGAGTTTTGAAAAGGGGTATCTCAGCTAGATAGCTGGGTAGGGGTATCCTGTCTCTTTTCTCACATCCCATTCTCTTGACTCTGTATCTTTTCAGTTCAACCTTCCGGTAGCGCAGACAAAGAGGAGGATAAGGTGGAATGTCACCCCGATAGCGGTACTACAGGTGGCAGTCTCCAAAAAGTGGAGGAGGGAAAAGAGTGTCATCCAGAGGAACAACAGCAACAACAACAACAATCTACGACAGAACCAGCCAAAAGCACCATGACTTTTAGCAGTGTCATCCAGGGCACCTATTCGGCGGATGCAGATGATGACGCAGCTCCACAGTCCAGTAGCACCATTGTCATTACCATGGATGGGGATGGCCAGGAAGCCGTGGATGTCGAGGCCGACGGTGGAGTCGAAATGTCCCTACAACTTCCTTCATAACAATACATGCACACACGTACCCATCAAGATCGGCAACAACCATCTCAAGTTTGTTGTTCCGATAGATACCTACCTACCTACTTGTTCTGTACCATATTACATACGCACAAACTGCATTCTTGCATGGAATGAATGAATCGAATCCACCACAACAACATGCCTTCCTTGCTCGACGGCAAAGCAACTCAACTCAGTCTTCTTCTCGTGCACGTTTTGTCAAATGCTATTTGAAAGATAAAACTGGATGATGTGCCAAAATCAGTCGCTACTTACTACCTTTGACCCAACGCTCAAACAGCTTGATAAAAGGGATTGATGCAATTCTGTAGTTGTATAGTAAATTTGGAAGTTCATAATCATCAATAAATAAATAATCTAAAGGCAACTGCTAGCTACGTACCGGTAGGACATGCAGTCACATTAATTTGACACCCGTGCATGCCAATGCTCCAGCGTCGGGTACCGCCGTACAATCTAGCTAGTCTCTGAGCCTGTTTCAAATGGCAAGTAGCCCCATTTTCCCCTTTTGCCTACGCCACGATATACTGTAGCTAGCTACTGGTAGCTACCGGTGCTTCAGTATATAGATACCGTACCGGACCATAGCTAGCAAGTATGAAACTCCTCAAGCTGGCTGATTGGCATGCTATGGTACGATTGATGGCTCATGACAACCAAGCAACACCTCCACTCGATGGATGCAAACCTGTCAAGACAATCCTATAGCTAGTGTTCGATTGCCTACATATACCTGATCTTCTCGAGAGTTGATATATTAGAAAAACAAATACTAAATAGATACGTTAATTTTAAAAGTAGTGTCCTCAATCATGAGACCCAGGGCAGCCATTGTCTCGTAGCCACTGGATCATTTCGCTTTGTTTCTTCCTGCCAGCCCAGAAATATGCTTGTGCATCCCACGGACAACCATTTTCACGAGCCAACTTCAAAACTTCCAGTTGTCCACCAAAAGCAGCACTGGCACATGTATGTTCATTCCATGGACAACCATTCTCTCTTAACCATTGGAGAATTTCAAAATGTCCATTTTCAGCAGCATTGGAACATGCCGTTTCATCCCATGGACACCCATTTGCATGCACCCATTGAACGATTTCCAAATGTCCACCTTTAGCAGCTTTTGTACATGTCTCTGCATTCCATGGACAACCATTTTCACGAGCCCACTTTACAATTTCCAAATGTCCATTTGAGGCAGCAAGCCAGGATGTATTCTCATTCCATGGACAACCATTTGCATGAGCCCATTTCAAAACTTCCAAATGACCGTTTTCAGCAGCAACTTCACATGTCCTCACATCCCATGGACAACCATTCTCTCTTAACCATTGGAGCATTTCCAAATGTCCATTTTTAGCAGCATAAGCACATGTCCCTTCATCCCATGGACAACCATTTAGATGCAACCATTGGAGCAATTCGAAATGTCCATGTTCGGCAGCTGTCTTACACGTGCACTCATCCCATGGGATTCCTTGTTGGTGTGCCGCCCACTGCATGACCATAATGTTTCCAATTTTGGCAATTGTTTGGCAAACATGACGACGGTCAAATTTCTTCTTACTGGAATCGTCCCTGAGCCAGAATTCTGCACGTGGCACATTGCAAAATGTTTGGCTGTAAAGAGTATCGGTGCTTTCTGCAGATCGATCCATCTCCAATGGGTTATCCTTTACGTCTATTGGATTTTTGTCGAGCTCAATTTTGCAGTACTCCTTGTACAGTTGATTCATCTTTTTGTTGACAGCTCCTGCAAAAGCATACTGTCCAACGCCAACAAACGGGAAAATGCCTTGGATCAAAATGTCGTCATCACCCAGCAGCAGAGAATCACTGGGTTACTCGGCATTTTGTCTGTTTGGGAAAGTGTTTTGGCGATTAAGTGATCCTTATATCCTCATGTAAATGTCTACGCACACTAAGTAGACATAAGTAGACAAAGTAGACATTGTGCGACTTTAGAAGACATTAGGAGACAAAGTGATTTGGTAGACAAAGTGAGACATTGTGAGACATTGGTAGACAAAGTGAGACATTTTGTACTGTTTTACTGTACTGTGTAGACATTGGTAGACATTAGTAGACATTGTGAGACATTGGTAGACATTGTGAGACATCTGTAGACATTGTGAGACATCCGTAGACATTGTGAGACATAAGCCACTTTTACAAAGGAGCATAGAACATTTAGGCAACTCTGTAATCAGATACAATAGCCTTAAATAGACAAAATGCCGAGTAACCCAGGGGAGAGACATTTTCTGATTCTTATTGCTAGCACTGTTATTATTGGTGGCAGCGGCACCAGTACTGGTATCAATAGGAGCAATAGGAACAGAAGACATGCTCAACAATCAACTTAAGCCTGGCCCCGGCTGGCTTCCGTAGCTAATTTCCCTACTCTAAAACCCCCTTATAATTGGTGGCTACCGTACGGTATCCGAACCCTCCTATTAGGAGCTCCTGTAAGTTTTATCCAGGTTGAAAAATCCAGCTTGGGGATGAGCAAACTTGCCCATAGCCCTGCATTGTATTTGATAGCGTTTTTTGTAAAAGTGTCCGTGAAAAGGCGAATATTTGTTTTGGGCTGCAATTTTTCTATTGGATTAGATGGGATTGGATTGAATTGAATTGGATTGCATTGAATTCCAGCTTACTATACAAATAACAGTATTAGTTGGAATCCAATTCAATCCAATTCAATCTAATCCAATGCAATCTAATCCAATTGAATCTTGCTTCCCACTAAAACGTTCATTTGGTCTTTTTTCTGACATTCTGATTAACTCCCGTTGAGTGCACTACAGCACTATAGCAAGATTTGCCCATCCCCCTTCAGAGCGCTGTGTCGCAGCTTGCTTCAAGTTGCGTCGGTCAGCTTGTCACCTCGTGCAATCTAATTGCAAAAGTCTTCAGAAACCAGTTGAGCTGCTTTTGCACGAGGATGCAAATCAAAGTACCAGTACTGTACAATCTATCTGACGGACCCCTCAAGCGGAACGAACCAAAACGAATGAACGAATGGTTCCACCGCATTATTTGTCAGGTTGCTGGATGGGCAATGAAGAGTAATGGACAACAGAGTATTCGTGGTGTCCGACAAGAGTCTATCATAGTGCGCGTCGAAAGCCGCTGTTTGAGTCGAGTCTGCAGCTCTACCAGTACAAACGATGAAGAAGTTAGAGAGTGCTCTCATAAGACTGGTGTTGCCTCTGCTGGGCGCGTTTGTTGCTGTGCAGTTGTTGCCTCGGGGTATCCGGCTCGAGCATGTGGAGAATCACACCCAACCAGAACATCATCATCATCATGAGGAGGAAATTCCAGTCAAATCTAGTAGTCGATACTTAGCCCAGCAACTGAAAGAGGCTCCGTATCGGTATTACATGTACGACGATCCAGTCATGACACAGAAAAAAGCCCGGGACAATGCTCGCAACGAGAAATGGACGTGGACTCGGTCCTGGGGACAGCGATACAAAGACTACGTCAAGTGGGAATTGGCATACCTCAAAGCATTGGAAGAACACCCCTGGCGGATCTTTGACAGTCCCGAAACCGCAGACTTTATTGTCATTCCCATTCCCATCAATGCCATTTCGGTGGCAGGAGACCCCAAGGAAGACACACCACGAGCATTGGAAGCTCTGTACCAACATGAACTATTTCAGAAATTCCCCGAGAAGCATGTGTGGATGACATTTTTGGAGTATGCCTTTGCACCCCGAATCAATTTGCCCAGCCGAGTAATATTGGAACCAGGCGATTTACGGGGAAAACGGAAACGGAAACGAAAGCAAAAAGGAAAAAAGGAGAAACCAGATGCAGCTGGTCTCTACATGGAAGATTATGCCCGCCTGGAAAATATCACCACGGCACTGCCCGTGGATCATCATGCATGGAATCATAAGGTCCCCTACAGTATAAAGGAGCAGCAAGGATGGACTTGTGAAGAAATGCAAAAATTTTCCTGGGGCGAGCCATTCACCAAGCATTCGTGGTCCATGTCGTTTATGGGTGCTGCCTTGGACCTCAAGACGTCCCTGGAACCTCTCACTGTGGAATCATTCCAGAACAAGACGTATCATTACCTGTACCATAGCAGAACGACACCGTCCGTGTGTAATTCCACTCCCCATCGGCATGCACTCATCATCAGCAACCAAACCCGGGAGGCACTTCATCAACCTTGCTCTATTGGCTTTGACATTGATCCTGCAGAATGGAATCGCCGGTTTAAAGATACCAAGTTCTGTCCCTGTATCCGTGGTGACAATCCCAATACACGGTGTGTCTTTCGGTCCATCCGAGCGGGGTGCATTCCGATCGTGGTCAGCGATCTCTTGGAGGACTTTGCGCCAGTCTACAAGTCCCTGTTGCGGCTGAAAGACTATTCCATTCCAATACGAGAACAAGATTTTTTGCAAGATCCCGCCAAAGCTCTCAATGAGGCGACCAAAACGACAGACGAGGAATTGGCAATCCTCATTGATGGGGTCAACCTGTTGAAACGAATGGTGGTTCCCAGCTACCCGGCGTCTCTCTTTGTGGAAGCCTTTGCCCATGAAACCATGGCCAGCCAGCAGAGTGACTACTACAACTATTCTCTTGTCGGTACAGTACAGTACGCATCGATAGGTAGTTAGGGACTAAGTTGTCCAGATGATGATGCTGCTGACTAATCTGGGGTTCTGGGCATGAGTCTTCAACACTTATATGGTCCTTCCGCCAGCACCAAGCTACCAAGATGGGGAAGTGGGCCTTTCCGAGTAGCAAAGGAATGGCAACATATACCGTACGGTAGACTAGGAAACTCGAGGACGGAGGAATTGGAAAGGGAGGAAACACTAGACTCGACTCTCAATCGATAAGCGAATTTGGGACACCCATGTCCACGGATTTGAAGTCTGTACTATGCACGGACTAGCTAGCTAGCTAGTACTAGTAGTCTGGCTACGATCAGTTCTGGGTGGTATCGCGCACCTGTATGGTATCGGTTTACCACCGTGCTTGCTCTATCTAGCTACGTGTATGTGTAGAGCGTACTCGAGCAATGGGAGCGAGGTGCTCGAACGGAACTGGTCGCGGACCCCACAAGCAAAAATAATACCAACGAGGAAATGAAAACGTCAAAATCATCATCACTATCGTAGATTCATTCAATGGTGGTATATCTAACCGATTTGCTGTCCGCACTTGGCTCTCAGGCAATCGAGCGCGGCTTGAGCATTTTCGGCATCATCATTGTTGTCAATGGCGGTTTGGTAGTGTAGCACCACCTTCTGGTTGGTACTCTCACACTCCACTTCCGATACCTGATCGCAACCACCGGCTCGTTCAATATATCCTTTGAACGCCCATTCGCAGACGCACCAATTCACAATGGGGCAATTATTGGTGCTGCTGCTGTGATCTTCGTCGTGGCAAGTCTTGTCCTCGTCGCACCAATTGGGTTGTCCTGTGACGGTACAAAAGTTGCCGTTTTGCGCCGAGGTCAAATCGATGCACACATTGTGGGATCCCGTGTCGCGGTCCTTATCCATACATTTCCCAGTACGGGTGAATCCGGTTCGGGCCATGCCGTCCGAGCTGCATTCCTTCAACGGCTCTCCATACACATTCAGATCGGCAGTGACAACCGCAACACTACCAATCGCTAGCAATAGCAGCAACAAGGAAGCAACAGGTCGCATCATGATGATCGAACCAATCTGATCAGTGTGGATTTACGCTGGCTGGGAAAGCCATAGATAGCCATGCAGCCTGAGGCTCGTGTTGGCTTGGACCACTTCAACCGAGAGGAAGCAACCGGTCAAATATCTTTTTCGGGATACTGGCTAGCTACTAGCTAGCTAGTACTTATTGCCTTGACTTGCAGGGTTTCTCTCGATTCCCGCAGGAAGAACCACTGAGTCACTCAGCCTCAGTCCTCGATCTTCCTGGATCCTCTCGCAGAAAATATGTTGGTGTGTTTCCTCTGCGAGGTTTTATCTATATGCTTTCATTCCCGAACAGAACCCTCTTTATGTCTTCGAGTGACGTCACAACCAGAACCACGCGGCATTGTCATTCCACATCGTTGCATGCAGCTCTCATTCCACCCTGCCGCTAATCCCGAGTGGACGACACCTCCGATTGTCGAGTTGCGCAGAACCATGTTGAAGCTACCACTTACCGAGCGGCGTGAGGCAACACCGTGCACTTCAAGTGGCAAACAAGCAGACGACGACAACCAATTTTAAGTGAGCTGATCCTTCTTCTCACAATCCAAAAACAAAGCAACAAACAACAGCAACAAACAAACAAACAAGCAAACAGAAACAAAATACAGCATAGATCTGAAGAAGCAACAACAAGCCCACAAAGCAATATCGATAACAACAGCAACAACAACAACATCATCAACAGCAACAGCAACAGCAACAGCAACAAGAGAAACCAGACAGCCAAACCATACCCAATTTCATCACCGAAACACGACAATCCTGCAGCCCAAAATGAAGTTCATTCCAAGCATCGTAGCCATCTTCCTTTTGAGCGCCCAAAGCCAAGTGACGCCAACCCAAGCATACCTGAGGGTCAGGCGCACGGAGGCTCCATCTCAAGCACCCTCTCAAGCACCTTCCAGTGTGCCCAGCACTGCTCCAAGCCACCAGCCCAGTCAAGCCCCTAGTGCATCCCCAAGCAACGCACCCAGCAGCTCCCCAAGTCAATCTCCCACAGTGACCAATGAGGAGGACTTGCCTTGGTGTGATGAACTTGATCTTGAGGAGTCAGGTATGCCCAGCGCAGTTCCTTCTCAAAGTCCATCAATGGTCCCCAGTTCTGCGCCCTCCCAAACCCCATCTGCTGCACCAAGCAATGCACCATCTTGGAATCCATCGGCAAGTCCATCGGCAAGTCCATCAGCCAGTCCTACATGGTCTTGGAGCCCCTCCGCATCTCCCTCCGCCAGTCCATCCATGATGCCTTCTCAGGCACCATCAGAGAGCCCTACAAGCCTTCAAGAAGACTGCAGGTGCTATGAAGGGACATTCAGTCAAGTCCTGAGCCAAGCTCCATCAGCCGCACCAAGTCAAGCGCCATCCTTGGCTCCAAGTATGGCACCCAGTGCATCCCCAAGTGCATCGCCATCAGCAGCCCCTTCTGGTGCTCCTTCCATGGCGCCCTCTGTAGCCCCTTCTGCTTCGCCTTCTGCCATGCCTTCCCAGGCAGCTATTGCCAGCAACAAGTGTATCTGCTGTGTTTGCTCCGATGGGGTTACTAGCTATGCGCCAAGCCAAATGCCATCGTCTGCACCAAGTCAAGCACCATCGTTGGTTCCAAGCATTGCTCCCAGTGCAACTCCAAGTGCCTCCCCGTCAGCAGCCCCCTCAGGCGCTCCTTCCATGTTCCCTTCTGCATCTCCCTCTATGTCTCCTTCTGCTGCGCCTTCCCAGGCTCTTTCTGCCAGTGACATGTGTATTTGCCCGGAGATGCCAGTTCGCAAATGCCGAAATCGCAAAAAGCAGACCTATCTTCGACCAACCAGCAGTCCCACTAGGAATCCAACAGCCAAACCCACAACCAAGCCCACAACCAAGCCCACATCTAAGCCTACGTCCAAGCCCACAACCAAACCTACAACCAAACCCACCACCAAGCTGACAACCAAGCCTACGTCTAAACCCACAACCAAACCTACCACCAAACCTACCACCAAACCTACTCGACCCCAAAACAATAACCATCCACAACAGAACAATCCCCACCCTCACACACAGTCAAATCCCCACCCTCACACACAATCAAATCCCCATACAAACACACACACAAATGTGCATCACGACACCCATACAAATCCCCCGCAACCAAAACGAACTAATCCACCTGTACGCAATACACAAAATCCTCACCCCCAAGTGACACACTCTAACAAGCCAACCACAAGCCCAGGGAATCCTCCACCTACAAACCCACCAACATCAATTATGACCACTAACAGACCAGCTGAAACAACAGTCAACAACACAACAAAATCCCCACAAAAAGTTGATCCAACCAATACAAAAAACCCTACATTGACAAACACTGCCACGGAAGTGCCAACTTCCCCTCCTTCTTCAGTGGAAATGACTCAAAAGACTACCTTCGCACCCAATGTGGCCAAAAACACTCCCACTACTTCAAGCCCAACCATTGCACCAACACAGCTAGTGACTGTACCACCTACTCGGCAAACACTGAGCCCTTCTGAAGCTCCAATGCTTGAAGTACCAACATCAGGTGCGCCAACCAGCGCCAGCCCAATGGTTTCACCAACAGTGGCTCCAACCAATGGAGCTACCAAAATCTTTGCTAATGTTCCTACTGAAGAACCAACACTGCCAAAGAAGCTGACTGCTGCCCCATCTGCACTTACAACACCTAGTACGCCTGCCCCAACAAGAGGACCTGACTCTGTGACTACAACTCCCTCCAGCAGCAGCACCATACCACCTACAACCACAGCAACTAGCACTCCATCGCATATCAGCCACCCGACATCCAAGCCTGATAACTATGTACAAAATACAATCCCCCCCACAGCTGCTGGAAGCCAGAGTTTCACCAGCCCACCAACAGCTTTGCAATCAACCAAGTCACCTACAACTTCAATTACTTTGGATCCACAAGAAAAATCAACAGAATCTCCCACCTTTGCTCCAACACTTGCACCAACTCCAGCAACTGGAACTTCTGTGTTCACCACTCAACCCACGGAGTCCCCAACAATGACCATGACTTCTCCTCCCACTACCATCCCAACTAACTCCCCATCGCTTGTAGACATCCCAACAGCAAGCCCAACAAACTCAACGCAAAAGACATCTTCCCAACCTAAAATTCATAACCAGGTTCCAACCAGCTCTCCAACAGCAGGGCAATCCACGGGTCCACCCTCTTCAACAGCAACTGTCTCTCCTACTCCTGAAACAACAACAAGTTCACCAACGGAAGGACCAACTACTATTTCCCCGAATCTAGCAACGACAAGGTCCCCAACAACAAATGTGCCAACCTCAAATGCTACTTTGGCTCCCACTTTTGCAACAACAAAAGCCTCCTCAATAAACCCCTCCACGAATCTACCGGCAACTACCAGTCCTCAAACTTCAGCTTCCACAACTACTCCAACAAAAGGACCAACTGGTTCTCCAACCGGCCAACCAATCACAAATGTCACAACTTCAGCTCCCACAGCAGCAACTACAGTTCCATCTACTGGTTCTCCAACATCACCATCCACAACAAACCCCCCTACCTCAACTGTCACGAATACACCATCAGGAGCACCAACATCTGCCTTCACACCAGCTCCTACTTCTTCAAACCAATCACAAACTCTATCCCCAACAATAGCACCATCCACTAGCTCCCCAACAAAAACACAAGCAACTACCAATGCCACAACTTCATCTCCCACAGCTACGATGACAGTTTCATCTACTGGTTCTCCAACAGCTCCACCAACAACAAACGCCACAACCTCAACTGTCACGAATGCTCCAACAGTAGCATCAACAGCTGCTGTCACACCAACTACCAGTTCTCCTTCATCCCAAACCCAAACTCTATCCCCAACAGTAGCACCAACAGCTGCTGTCACACCAGCTACCACTTCTTCTTCAAACCAAACACAAACTCTATCCCCAACAGTAACACAATCCACTAGCTCCCCAACAAAACCACCAGCAACCACCAATGCCACAACCTCAGCACACACACATGCCCCAACCTCCACTCTCACTTCATCACCCACTAATGCACCCACTAATGCCACCAAAAGTCCGACAAGTTCTACAACAAAAGCAGCCACTGATGCCCCCACAATGAGTCCAACAAGTTATCCCACTCAAGTCCCATCACAAACTCTAACTCACGCCCCACAGACAACTTTCGCTGGCTGTGCTGGATACAAAATTTGCCAATCTGATGCAGACTGTGGTCCCAAGGATTCCTGTGTAACCCAGGGAACTGGAGCTGGATGGCAAGCGGCCTGGCCAGCTCACTGCCCAAGTCAAAACAAACTGTGCCTTCCAAAACCAACCATTTCCCCAACCTCCACTCCCTTAACACCACCTCTAGCTAATGCCACAACTGATGCCCCCACCAATGATCAACGAAGTTCTCCCACTCAATCCCATCACAAACTCGATCACGCCCCACAGACAACTTTCGCTGGCTGTGCTGGATACAAAATTTGCCAATCTGATGCAGACTGTGGTCCCAAGGATTCCTGTGTAACCCAGGGAACTGGAGCTGGTTGGCAAGCGGCCTGGCCAGCTCACTGCCCAAGTCAAAACAAACTGTGCCTTCAAAACCAACCATTTCCCCACCTCCACTCCCTTAACACCACCTCCTAGCTAATCCACTGATCCCCCACCATGAGTCCAACAAGTTTCCCACTCAGTCCCATCACAAACTCTGACTCACGCCCAACAGACAACTTTCGCTGGCTGTGCTGGATACAAAATTTGCCAATCTGATGCAGACTGTGGTCCCAAGGATTCCTGTGTATCCCAGGGAACTGGAGCTGGATGGCAAGCGGCCTGGCCAGCTCACTGCCCAAGTCAAAACAAACTGTGCCTTCCAAAACCAACCATTTCCCCAACCTCCACTCCCTAACACCACCTCTAGCTAATGCCACAACTGATGCCCCACCATGAGTCCAACAAGTCTCCCACTCAAGTCCCATCACAAACTCTGACTCACGCCCCACAGACAACTTTCGCTGGCTGTGCTGGATACAAAATTTGCCAATCTGATAAGGACTGTGGTCCCAAGGATTCCTGTGTAACCCAGGAACTGGAGCTGGATGGCAAGCGGCCTGGCCAGCTCACTGCCCAAGCAAAACAAACTGTGCCTTCCAAAACCAACCATTTCCCCAACCTCCACTCCCTTAACACCACCTCTAGCTAAGCCACAACTGATCCCCCACCATGAGTCCAACAATTCTCCCACAAGTCCCATCCAAACGACCACCCCCACAACACTTCGCCTGCGGATACAAAATTGCCATCGACAGACGTCCAAGACCTGTGTATCCCAGGAACTGGAGCTGGTGGCAAGCGCCTGGCCAGCTACTGCCAAGTCAAAACAAACTGTCCTTCCAAACCAACCATTTCCCCAACCTCCACTCCCTTAACACCACCTCTGTAACCACTGATGCCCCCACCATGAGTCCAACAAGTTTCCCACTCAAGTCCCATCACAAACTCTGACTCACGCCCACAGACACTTTCGCTGGCTGTGCTGATACAAAATTTGCCAATCTGATGCAGACTGTGGTCCCAAGATTCCTGTGTAACCCAGGGAACTGGAGCTGGATGGCAAGCGGCCTGGCCAGCTCACTGCCCAAGTCAAAACAAACTGTGCCTTCCAAAACCAACCATTTCCCCAACCTCCACCCCTTAACACCACCTCTAGCTAATGCCAAACTGATGCCCCCACCATGAGTCAACAAGTTCTCCCACTCAATGTCCCATCACAAACTCTGACTCACGCCCACACAGACAACTTTCGCTGGCTGTGCTGGATACAAAATTTGCCAATCTGATAGACTGTGGTCCCAAGGATTCCTGTGTACCCAGGGAACTGGAGCTGGTGGCAAGCGCCTGGCCAGCTCACTGCCCAAGCAAAACAAACTGTGCCTTACAAAACCAACCATTTCCCCAACCTCCACTCCCTTAACACCACCTCTAGCTAATGCCACAACTGATGCCCCCACCATGAGTCCAACAAGTTTCCCACTCAAGTCCCATCACAAATCTGACTCACGCCCCACAGACACTTTCGCTGGCTGTGCTGGATACAAAATTTGCCAATCTGATAGGACTGTGGTCCCAAGGATCCTGTGTAACCCAGGGAACTGGAGCTGGATGGCAAGCGGCCTGGCCAGCTCACTGCCCAAGTCAAAACAAACTGTGCCTTCCAAAACAACCATTTCCCCAACCTCCACCCCTAACACCACCTCTAGCTAATCCACAACTGATGCCCCACCATGAGTCCAACAAGTTTCCCACTCAAGTCCCATCACAACTCTGACTCACGCCCCACAGACAACTTTCGCTGGCTGTGCTGGATACAAATTTGCCAATCTGATGCGACTGTGGTCCCAAGGATTCCTGTGTATCCCAGGGAACTGGAGCTGGATGGCAAGCGGCCTGGCCAGCTCACTGCCCAAGTCAAAACAAACTGTCCTTCCAAAACCAACCATTTCCCCAACCTCCACTCCCTTAACACCACCTCTAGCTAATGCCACAACTGATGCCCCCACCATGAGTCCAACAAGTCTCCCACTCAAGTCCCATCACAAACTCTGACTCACGCCCCACAGACAACTTTCGCTGGCTGTGCTGATACAAAATTTGCCAATCTGATGCAGACTGTGGTCCCAAGATTCCTGTGTAACCCAGGGAACTGGAGCTGGATGGCAAGCGGCCTGGCCAGCTCACTGCCCAAGTCAAAACAAACTGTCCTTCCAAAACCAACCATTCCCCCAACCTCCACTCCCTTAACACCACCTCTGCTAATCCACATGATGCCCCACCATGAGTCCAACAAGTTCTCCCACTCAATCCCATCACAAACTCTGACTCACGCCCCACAGACAACTTTCGCTGGCTGTGCTGGAACAAAATTTGCCAATCTGATGCAGACTGTGGTCCCAAGGATTCCTGTGTATCCGTGAACTGAGCGTGCAGCGCCTGGCCACTCACATCAAAACAAACTGTGCCTTCCAAAACCAACCATTTCCCCAACCTCCACTCCCTAACACCACCTCTGTAACCACTGATGCCCCACCATGAGTCCAACAAGTTTCCCACTCAAGTCCCATCACAAACTCTGACTCACGCCCCACAGACAACTTTCGCTGGCTGTGCTGATACAAAATTTGCCAATCTGATGCAACTGTGGTCCCAAGGATTCCTTGTATCCCAGGGAACTGGAGCTGGTGCAAGCGGCCTGCCAGCTAACGCCCAAGTCAAACAAACTGTCCTTCCAAAACCAACCATTCCCAACCTCCACTCCCATAACACCACCTCCTGTAAACCACTGATGCCCCCACCATGAGTCCAACAGTTTCCCACTCAATCCATCACAAACTGACTCACGCCCAAGACAACTTTCGCTGGCTGTGCTGGATACAAAATTTGCCAATCTGATGCAGACTGTGGTCCCAAGATTCCTGTGTACCCAGGAACTGGAGCTGGATGGCAAGCGGCCTGGCAGCTCACTGCCCAGTCAAAACAACTGTGCCTTCCAAAACCAACATTTCCCCAACCTCCACTCCTTAACACCACCTCTGTAATGCCACACTGATGCCCCCACCATGAGTCCAACAAGTTCCCCACTCAAGTCCCATCACAAACTCTGACTCACGCCCCACAGACAACTTTCGCTGGCTGTGCTGGATACAAAATTTGCAATCTGATGCAGACTGTGTCCCAAGGATTCCTGTGTACCCAGGAACTGGAGCTGGATGGCAAGCGGCCTGCCAGCTCACTGCCCAAGTCAAAACAAACTGTCCTTCCAAAACCAACCATTTCCCCACCTCCACTCCCTTAACACCACCTCTGCTAATGCCACAACTGATCCCCCACCATGAGTCCAACAAGTTCTCCCACTCAAGTCCCATCACAAACTCTGACTCACGCCCCACAGACAACTTTCGCTGGCTGTGCTGGATACAAAATTTGCCAATCTGATGCAGACTGTGGTCCCAAGGATTCCTGTGTATCCCAGGAACTGGAGCTGGTGGCAAGCGGCCTGGCCAGCTACTGCCCAAGTCAAAACAAACTGTGCCTTCCAAAACCAACATTTCCCCAACCTCCACTCCCTTAACACCACCTCTGTAACCACTGATGCCCCCACCATGAGTCCAACAAGTTCTCCCACTCAAGTCCCATCACAAACTCTGACTCACGCCCCACAGACAACTTTCGCTGGCTGTGCTGGATACAAAATTTGCCAATCTGATGCAGACTGTGGTCCCAAGGATTCCTGTGTATCCCAGGAACTGGAGCTGGTGGCAACGGCCTGGCCAGCTACGCCCAGTCAAAACAACTGTGCCTTCCAAAACCAACCATTCCCAACCTCCACTCCCTTAACACCACCTCTGTAACCACTGATGCCCCCACATGAGTCCAACAAGTTCCCCACTCAAGTCCCATCACAACTCTACTCACGCCCCACAGACAACTTCGCTGGCTGTGCTGGATACAAAATTTGCCAATCTGATGCAGACTGTGGTCCCAAGGATTCCTGTGTATCCCAGGGAACTGGAGCTGGTGGCAAGCGGCCTGCCAGCTCACTGCCCAAGTCAAACAAACTGTGCCTTCCAAAACCAACCATTTCCCCAACCTCCACTCCCATAACACCACCTCCTGTAACCACTGATGCCCCACCATGATCAAACAGAGTTCCCCACTCAAGTCCCATCACAAACTCTGACTCACACGCCCACACAGACAACTTTCGCTGGCTGTGCTGGATACAAAATTTGCCAATCTGATGCAACTGTGTCCCAATGGATTCCTTGTGTATCCCGGAACTGGAGCTGAGTTGCAAACGGCCTGGCCACTCACGCCAAAGTCAAAACAAACTGTGCCTTCCAAAACCAACCATTCCCCAAGACGTCCCACCCCATAACACCACCTCCTGTAACCACTGATCCCCCACCATGAGTCCAACGAGTTCTCCCACTCAAGTCCCATCACAAACTCTAACTAACGCCCCACAGACAACTTTCGCTGGCTGTGCTGGAAACAAAATTTGCCAATCTGATACAGACTGTGGTCCCAAGGATTCCTATGTATCCCGAACTGAGCTGTTGGCAAGCGCCTGCCAGCCACTGCCCAAGTTCAAAACAAACTGTGCCTTACAAAACCAACCATTTCCCAAACCTCCACTCCCTTAACACCACCTCTTGCTAATGCCAACACTGATGCCGCCACCATGAGGGGTCCAACAAATTCTCCCACTTCAAGTCCCATCACAAACTCTAACTCACGCCCCACAGACAACATTCGCTGGCTGTGCTGGAAACAAAATTTGCCAATACGAATGCTGATGTGCCGAAGGATCTTGTTATCCAGGGAACTGACGTTGGCAAGCGCCTCAGCTCACGCCCAAGTCAAAAAAACGTGCTTCACAACCAACCATTCCCAAGCTCCACCCAAAACACCCACTCCTTAACCACTGACCCCACCAGGACACAACAAGTCCCACTCAACCATCAAAAACTCTGACCACTAAGCCCCCAACAACTCCTGGCTTGCGAGATACAAAATGCCAATCGATGCAGACTGTGTCCCAAGATCTGTGTATCCCAGTGAACTGGAGCTGGTTGGCAAGCGGCCTTGCCAGCTCACTGCCCAAGCCAAAACAAACTGTGCCTTACAAAACCAACCATTTCCCAAACCTCCACTCCCTTAACACCACCTCCAGCTAATGACACTGATCCCCCACATGATCCAACAAGTTCCTCCACTCAAGTCCCATCAACAAACCTGACCACGCCCCAACAGACAACTTCGCTGCTGCTGGATACAAAATTCCAATCTAGCAGACTGCTGGTCCCAAGATCTGTGTATCAGGAACTGGAGCTGGTTGAAGCCCTGCAGCTCACTGCCCAAGGTCAAAACAACTGTGCCTTCCAAAAACAAACCATTTCCCCACGTCCACCCCATAACACCACCCCTGTAACCACTGATGCCCCCACCATGAGTCCAACAAGTTCGCCCACACCAGCACCCACTGATGCACCACAAAAAAAGCCAACCAGCCTCCCAACACAGAGTCCTACTCAATCTCCTACACAGAGCCCAACCTCCTCTCCTACTTCATCACCCACAAAAGCACCAACTGATGCCCCAACCTCCTCTCCCACTTTATCACCCACAAAAGCACCAACTGATGCCCCAACCTCCTCTCCCACTTTATCACCCACAAAAGCACCAACTGATGCCCCAACCAGCTCTCCTACGCAATCTCCCACTCAGAGTCCTACTCAATCTCCCACACAGAGCCCAACACAATCTCCGACGCAATCTCCCACTCAGAGTCCTACTCAATCTCCCACACAGAGCCCAACACAATTTTCTACTGTCTAAGCTATCAAGTTAAACAGCTCAGATTGTGCTTGATGCACTATAGTTGATAGGTTGTGCACATATTAATTATCATTTATCATTATTTTTTAAATCTATTATTTGGAATGGCCATCTGAAAGTTCGAGTGTTTCTATCAATAGCTAACAGCTAGCTAGTAGGAGGAAGGAAGGATGAGATTTTGCAGTCAACCCAGAAGAAGCACTATTGGAGCATACCTAGCTAGCTAGCAAGTGTCGATTCAACCATGTAACAAGGTCACATTGCATGCCAATATATGGTTCCTCAAGCTAGTAGCCATCCTGAATGCTGTTCCCTCGTGCGCTTGGAGCTTGCCTCCCATCATCGGTCCACGATGGTTTGGATAACGCTGTTCTCTCTTCTCCAGCATCAAGATGGAAAGGTGGACAAAGTTGGTGTGGAGCAGTGCCTAAGCGAAGCTTACAGGGTCCATGTTGGCTTAAGTCTCTCAGAAGTGCTCACTTGCGCACTCTCTAAATCATAACCAAAAACCTTTTTTCATTTGGGAAAGCTTTTAAGTAACGACGTAAGCGCTTTGGACGCCTCATTTTTTCCGACCAAAGAAAGGCTCGATTGGAGCATCGGAGCCCGTGGGACAAAGGAAGAACATGTTGAATGGGCTGCTGGGCAACCCAAGGCAGTAGATGTACCAGGTACCAGTATTCATCAAAGACAGTCAATACGCACAGTTCAATAGCTACCACCACCACCACCAAAAGTTTCAGCATTGGTATCCCAGCACCATGGAAGAGATTGACAATCCACCACCTAGGAGCCGACTCGCTGCCAAAGAAGAGCTGTCAGTGGAACCAACTGAGACGCGTAGTGTTTCTTCTATATCCGACGTTAGTCAGGAAAAGAATGTTCACAAGCATTATACTACTATTGTGGTTGGAGCCATGCCAGCAAATGGCGGGGTGGTCCTTGCGGGTGGGCCAAAGATCAAGGAAAGTCACAGTAGAGGAACCATCTCAAGATCTCAATCGCGATCGGATCCACCTGCACGTGGATCCCATCGTACAGAAAGAGAGCACAAGTCCAAGCGAAATACTCACATGGGCACATCCTCAGGGGCCGTAAGGACTACCTCGGGTGAAAAACGATACAGTTACACAGGGCACAGAGCATATTCTTCCAACGGCACAGATGATATGGTAGGGCGCCACAGAACTCACCGGGGCCACGGGGCATACGGGCGCACAACCAGTGATCTGCATATTCCGAGACAGGATGCTGTGGGGCTTGATGATGAAAATTTTGAATCTCGAATGGAATTGCTGCGGGATGACCACTACGATGAAGAACAAGGGGGGGTTGCCACAATGGAACGAAGGCGCAGTGATCATGCAAAGACATTGTGTATGATCATGGGGTGGCTGGTGGCCATTGTCTTTCTTGTGTTCTTGGCACTTTTTTTCTTGGAAAAGAACAAGCACATTTCCTTGCTGCCCACTAGGATGGTGGAGGTCACAGCTCCGCCTTCGGTGGCGCCATCAGGAGCTCCATCGGCCTCTCCAACGTGGCAAGGAGATCATTTTTTCCGTCTCTTGCCCGAGAGCTCCTTGAAGGCGATTACGGAGGATCCAGAATCTCCCCAGCGAAAGGCTTACGACTGGCTTGTGGTGGACAGCCAAGTGCAAACATACTCCTCGTCAAGGCTAGTGCAGAGGTTTGCTCTGGCAACCTTCTTTCATGCCACGGGTGGACCTACGCACTGGAACAGAAATTCCACAAAACGTTGGCTTAGCAGCGCACATGAATGCAAATGGGGCATGGCTACTTCGCTCCAGGCTGGTATCTTGGTCGACCGTGACAACAACTACTTTTATGATATGCACGATGTCAGCGGCCCCTGTACTAAGAAAATCACTGCTGATGATGTCCGCGACGAGGAAGCAGAAGAAGAACTGGTTTACGAGTATTTGTGGTTTCCTCGAAACGATTTGGTTGGTACACTCCCACCCGAGATCTACCTTTTGACATCACTCCGCATCCTGTCCCTGTTTGGCAACCCCGAGCTAGAGGGTTCTATTGCCTCGAATATCGGCGCCCTTACCAACTTGGAGGCACTTGCCATGTCCTACACTCGTCTATATGGGAGTATTCCAGAGGAAATACAAGCCTGTTCCAACTTGAGTGGGATCATGCTATCCGGGACTGGATTGAAGGGGACAATCCCGAGCTTGGGAAATCTATCGTCATTGCAACACCTCTTTCTGGATTTCAACTACCTCACGGGTCAGATTCCTTCTGATCTCCCTCCCCTCATGGGTCAAATGGTGCTGGCAATGAACCACCTGAATGGAACCGTTCCAACAGAGATTTGGTCTCTGGACCACCTGTATGAGCTTGACGTCCGCTCGAATGAATTGACAGGAGCAGTAATCCCAAACGAGTTACACCAGATGACTTCACTCAAGTATTGGCACGCAAGCAACAATCTCTTGTCGGGGGAGTTGATCCCGACTTCCTTGGCAATCATGACCAACCTGCGAATCATGAGCCTGTTCCAGAATCGCATCAACTCCACCATTCCATCTGATATTGGGTTGCTTTCTAACTTGACGTTAATCTCGATCCGAGACAACGACATGACAGGAACGCTCCCTTCCGAGCTGGGATTGCTGAGCTTGTGTCGCTGGCTATGGCTCTTTGGAAACAAGTTTGTTGCCAACATCCCCAGTGAAATTGGCAACATGGAGGATCTGGTGGAACTACGGCTCAACAATAACCTCTTTTGGGGTTCAGTCCCATCTGAGCTTGGTCAGCTCCCACTGCTCTATGACCTGAAACTCAATGACAACGCCATTGCCGGTCAATTGCCGTCCGAGCTCGGGCTGCTGCCAGATTTGAACTTGATGCATCTACAGAACAATCAAATCTCTGGCATCATTCCGACAGAACTTTCCAACTTGGAATCACTGGCGGAGCTACAACTTCACGGCAACCGTCAACTATCTTCTTCCATTCCATCCGAGCTCGGCCTGCTGTCAAATCTCGATGTCCTGTTCCTGGACGACTGCCAGCTGAACTCTACACTTCCCTCTGAGCTTGGTCAGCTTGTTGCCTTGGAGTTGCTTTCGGTGTCGGGAAATGAGCTTTCTGGTAGTGTGCCATTGGAAGTCACTGCCCTGCCGTCACTAATCTACTTCAATGTAGCGGACAATCGGTTCACGGGAAATGTTCCAGTCCTTACATCCCACCACAGCAACAACGGCACCAGCAAAGCAGCTTTGGAGGCATTCAACATCTCCCACAATGGGTTCGTGGGGGAAATCCCAATTGAATTGTGTACCCTCGATGCGACTGTGTTCCAATACGATTGTTCCAAATCACTGTGTGGATGCTTCAGCTGCCTTTGCGACAGTCGCATCCCTGTGGATGCTTTCAAGATCTGGAACTAGCTAACTAGTCTAGCTCGATAGATAGATAGCTTTGTAGTACGTAGTAACTGAGAATAGCGAGCAATTGTAAAACGAGTTGTTGTCCTGCCTTCTTCTTGCGTCAAGATAATGCATCATAGTCAAAGCTTCCTTCTCCTCGCCTGAACCTATTCTGATACCCTGCCGGGGCCCGCACATACGGGTAAACCAGCGTCCTCTGGACCAACACCCGGGCCATCTAAGAGAGTGCCAGTCGTAAGCTTTCTCTAGCTAGCTAGAAGTAAGAGAGTGCCACTCGCAACACAGGAGCACCCGGGCGTTCTGCGGAGTGCTTGGCATGCCAAAAACGAAATTAAACAGCTTAGCCGTCTCTCAAAGAGCAAGAAATGACCGTTGCGAGATGAGGACAGATGAGTGTTCACTCACCAGCTCGAAGAGATTGACAGAAGGCAGCAAGGAGGAACCATGAGCGATGCTTCGTCTGAAGATATCCAAGATCCAACTGCACCGGCAGAAGAACAAGAAGAGCCTCAGGCTCAGGCTGGTGTCGACCAAGCCTCAGGTCCTACCAATACGTTAAGTTCTACCGGTAGTACCACTGCCAATAATATCAATACGAGTGATGCCGCGGCAGAGATTCCTCCATTGAATACTTCTGATGATGTCCCCACCAAGGCAGAGAATTCCCAACAAAGACTCCAGTTTTTTAACAAAAAGGAAGCTGACAATGATGATGCCTACTTCAATAATCCAGAGATTTTCCAAAACTTTGAAGAAATGCTAGAGGCAAAGAGTCATGAACGTGCAATGCGTGTTGCCACTACTTCCGATGATGCCCGCAGCGCCAATGCGGCAATCTTTGAAGAAATGGTAGCGGCAAAGGCCGGTGAACGTGGTGCAATGATTACTACTGGTGCCATGAGGGATACCACTACTACTAGTAAAGCTGGCAAAGAGCAAGTTCCCACGGCTGCTACGAACAATATTACCAAGTCTATTGCATCTGCCAACATTGGTCGTCTGCCAGACGTTATTATGACGGATATGCAACCATTGAGCTTGGGACAAAATTCCATGGATCCTGTGGCGCCAACATCGGAATTGGTACGCCACGGCCAAGCACGTCAACGCCAACAACTTCCTCCCGGTGCGTATCCCCACGGTGGGAGACAAACATCCTCCGCCGCCACAACAATCACCAATGGTTCTACTCATTCCAACAACAACAACAACAACGGTAGCATTCATAATGGAGAAGTAACTGATCCGGAGATTGAACCGCCTTTGTTGGAAGCAACTTTGGTAGGTTCGGTACCATTTGAAATGGACGAGCAGTCCATCCCTCAAGCACAAATTTTGGCACCAAAATCACTCATGGGGCAATGGATGGAATCCACCTCCACACAAGCCAAGCTCATTTGTGTGCTTATTACGGTGGCCGTGCTGGGACTGATCATTACTGGATTGGTCTGTGGAACCAGCAATGTTTGTAGTGGTAATGATAATGATGATGATGATGGGCCAACCACCAAAGCTGTTTGGGTGAATGATCTACCCGATTCTACAATACAATCCTTACAAGATCCTGGTTCATCACAGTCACAAGCGTACCAATGGATGATGACTGGGTACAGTGAACAGAGGCTGGAAGAATTCCCAGATTGGAGACGTGAACAGATATTTGCCATTGGCTGTTTCTATTACTCCTTTGATGGATCTACCGATCCAGACTTGCTTCGTGACAAGGACTTCTTCAATACATCACTGCAGGAATGCCAGGATTGGAATGGGACCCATATCAAACTGGGTTGCACCGATGAGGGACAATTGACGTCTTTCAAACTCACTGCCGTCCCCGTGGAGGTTGTGGGTACAATTCCACCGGAAGTGCTTCTGTTGGATCAGTTGGACACCTTGGCCATTACAGAGGTCAAGCTGATTGGCAAATTGACCAGTATTATTCCCACCGAGTTGGAGCTCCATCCAAGCCTCAAGAATTTGGATCTCAGCTACAACCAAATCAGTGGAACCATACCAGAGTATCTGAGTCAAAAGACACAACTGGAAACCATCATTTTGCATCAAAACAAGTTGGGTGGAACGGTGCCTGCCCAACTCCTGTATGGCATACCCAACTTGATCAGGCTGCATATTTCAACCAACCAGTTGGTGGGGAGCATTCCCAAACCACCGCCGATATTGCCATCATTCTCAAGTTTGGCAAACGATACTTATGGGTATGCTCCTCTGCAGAGCTTGGAGCTGGCGACAAACGCTTTGACCGGAACGATACCCACTGAGCTGTCAGATTTCCGCAATCTACAAATCCTTTTCTTGTCGACCAACGACTTGACTGGTCCTTTCCCATCAGAGCTTGGTCTCCTCTCCAAACTAGAACGGCTCCGGCTTCATAGCAATGACATTACAGGAGTCCTGCCAACAGAACTAGGCTTGATGACCCGGATGACTCACTTGTCATTTTCCAAAATGCGTCTGACTGGAACCATGCCGAGCGAGCTTGCCTTGATGCGCCACCTTCGATTCCTCAACTTGGGTGGCAATAGAAATATGAAAGGCACGATTCCATCCGAAATGGGATTACTAACAGAGTTGACGAGTCTCATTGTTGGGGGAGGCATGACGGGAAGTGTACCCGAGAGTATCTGTCAATTAACATTGCCTCGTGCCGATGGTGGCAAACCCCTCAGTCTCAAGATTGCCTGCAACACTATGGATGAGTGCCCCAGTGGTTGCGAATGTCAGTGTGGAGCCGAACGATCAGGTGCTGGTGGCGGTGATGATGGTGATGGTCATTGTACCACTGGAGGGGGTCCGAGGGCTTGTTAGTAAAATGCTGGCGGGCATGCCGCATCTACGGTAGCAGTGATGTCTCTTTTTTAAATTCCAACTCGTAGCATAAGATCAAGTCAAAGCGCTTTGTTCGTGTACACCGTACAGCACATCACTCGTGCAATTCGGGTATCTGCTACCTGTGGTTAGTGTGTGTTAGGATGAAGGTGCTGACGAGTGCTGAAGGGTTCCGTTCAAAACGAAGCTGGAAACCGGAGGCCACCATTCGACGCTACCTGACATTGCCAGCCAACAGTGCATAACCCGCCATTCGACTCTGTAAGGAAAAACGCTGCCTAACTATAGTACGGTAGTCTTACCGGTTCGTACGGTAGCTGCCCCCAGCCACACGACTTCTGTTGCACCGAGAGATGGCACCCAGCAACACAACGCATTGAGATCGGTGTGTGAATGTGTGAATCCGAACATCACGAGATCGGGAAAATTCCACTCACAACGACCTGCCTGCTTGCAGGAATTCGAGCCAGCCTGTTTTGAAATTGTGAGACCGTTCCAAAAAGAAATTTCGGCCACTCGAAGAAAGACAATGAAATAATCCATGACAATCTGTCCCCAAGATTGAATGATGCCCTTTACAAGAACCATATCAAGTTGCATCTGGGGAGGACTATCTCAACAACAACCAAGGTGGCGTTGTCAGTGGCTAGTGGCTAGTTGTAGTAGAGGAGCAGCAGCAGTTTTGATAGTAACGGCAGTCTTTGTCACAATGACGAGAATATTTCCCTCTTTCCTACCAGCGTTGGTGGGCTTGTTGGCAGTCGTTGGCTCGAACAGTGTCAAGATGATCGGCAGTACGAGTCACCATCATGGTGCCAAGCCATATAGCAGCAGACACTTACTGCGTGGATTGAAGAACACTCCACGGAATGCCAACACCAAGCAGGGCAAACTCAAGGCATCCCCAGAATCCAAGTCTCCCAAGAAAGCTCCCGCGGTAGCCAAAGTGGCCAATAGTAAGGTACCCGAACCTCGAGCACCGAAGCAGCAACAACAACAGCAACAAAATGGCAATATCGATGGAGTCAAGCCCAAAAAGCTACACGACCAATACAATTACTTTGTCGAAGCCTGCCAGGCAGAGCTGATCGCGGATGTCATTAATGGAGGCATTATCCAACACAATCAATACACCGGCTTCATATTCAAGTACTGTCGAGGCAGTGACATTGAAGGACCTAGTTGTACTCGGGCCCAAGAAGAAGCTGGCTTTAGCAATCTGCCAAATGACATTAAACTCATGTACATCAAGGCATTCTGCCCGGAAGATGTGGACGGACAAGTTGCTTGTTTGCATGGGATCAACGACCGAGGTCGAGAATCTGAATTCAACGAGGAAATAGATCAGCTGTGTCTGGAATTGGAAACCTTGATGATCAAAAACCAGTACCTAGAAGAACCTGGTGAGTTCCTATCGTTGCAACTACTGACGGGATGATGAAGTCTATGCACATGCATGCATGCATATGGCGATTGCTTATCACGTGTTTTTGCTTTTTGTTTCTTTTTTTGCAGAAGCGCAAGTAGGAGGCACCACTACTGTGGGTGCAGTACCTTCCGCTAATGTGTGGCAGCAACAACCCTACGACGAACCGGAAATGCCATATGAACCTGGCGTGGACGCCATCAAAGACTATCAGACCGGATTCAATCCCAATCAGAACATCAACATGGTAGGACAGGCTGGAAATGACGCCGTGGTAACCACAACGGCACCGGTGAAACCTCCAACACCGAATCCTACGCCAGAGCCGACCCCTCGACCAACAACGAAAACTCTGAAGCCAACACCAAGACCGGCAGCAGTGGACCAGCATCCGACAAGGCCACTACCAGGGCACCAGAATAGTCCAGGAAGTACGCCTGTCACGTGGGGATCTGCCACAACTATTGCCACGGCGCCTCCCGTCACCAAGACACCACGGTCAACGCCCAAACCGACTACTATGAATCCTCCAGGCCTTACGGTCGTGGATGGCAATGGCAACACCATCAATTCCTTTGGCGGCGGGGGCAGCAACAGTAACGACAATGATGCTAGTGAAGGCATGTCCTCGGGAGGTATCACAGCCATTATCTTGGTTGCAATTTTGGGCATTGCCATTCTGTTCTCCTTGTTTCTCCTTTTCCAGAAACGCCGGCGACTACGCCACGACCCCAGTGGAATTGGCCGAGACTTCTTCTTTATGAAGTTCAAAAAGGTCAGACCTTCCGATGAAACAGAAACTCACGACAAGACCTATGTGATTGAGAACAATGGATCCATTGCATCCGAAGAGATTGACTTTCATGGTCCTCTCTTTGAATCATGGCCAGTAACGAATCATGATCTGGACAAGGCAGGACTGAGCCCTTTGCCCTATAAGGACGATGTGTCGTCGTTGCCCGATACCCCGCGCACTCGACATCACTCGCGTGCTGGCAGTGAAACCGCGACCGACACTGCCAGAGAAAGCGTCTTTGAAGAAGATGATGACGAACCAGAACCGCAAGACCCAACAGCGGATTTGTCACCCAGTACCTACACTAGCAGCCTTTTATCGTCGTTCTTCTCCAAGGCGGCAAACAGAGTGGATGGAGGAAATGCAGCAGGACAGAGCAACAACGCCGTTGATGAAATCAAGCGTGCTATCGATGGAGGTCTGTGGCAAGATGTGTACTACCTGGCATCCAAAATGGCTGCAGAGGGGAACATTGATACCAATGAAAACTTGCAAACTGCGTTGGTACGTTCCAACGAGGGTGGTGGAGGTGCTAACTACGCGAAGCCGAATCCCCGAGCACATTTGAAACCAGAAGATGCTGCCAGGGCCGCACAACTGGACGTATCTTTGGTTGCAGGAGACTGGATTACATTGGCAGCACGTGCCGCAGTCTTTGCAGCTTTGGATTCCGCCAATAACCCTGTCCCGTCCTGCATCAGCTTTGTCGCATCTGGCAAGAATGGCGACGTCGACGAATGCCTGGAGAAGGCAACGGCAGCGCTCAAAGAGGCACAAAAAGCAGCCAAAGCCAAAGAAGAGATGCAACAGCGAACCTTGGCTCTAATAGCAGCCGATGACACTGATTCAAATGACGAACACGTCGTGTTCATCAACGCAGACGAAGCGAACAGTGTTGACGACTTTGAGTATCCAAAGGAAGACTACAGTGATTTTTCCAGAACTAGCTCCAGCAGCGAGAGCGAACGTGGCAGCAAGTCCTCCGAGCGAAGAGGTCTTCCAGCTCCACCTTCACACCGTAGACACCCAACCAAACGTCCTCACACGTTGGTTGAGGACGTCGACGAGGACAGCAGCGAAGAAGAGGAAGAAGAAGAGACGGTGACATCCGACACCCGGAGCAGCATTCCAGGCCCACCATCCATAGCAATGAGCAACCAGTCCACAATACCAACACAAGCTTCAACGTCCAAAGAAGTCCCTTTTCAATCCATCGAAGAAGGCTCCAGAGGCCCATTCCGCCGCGATTTCGTCAATGGCGGATCCCACCCAATGGAGCAAGAGGACGAGGACGAGCTCCCGATCGACCCGTCCCGAGCCATAATGTAGCATGAACCAAGACGAGGCGACGGCTCTCGGGGGAAGCCTCCGCCAAAATCTTTTGGGGTTCGATTCATGGAAAGAGGATAGAAACGTGCACACTTTCTCCTGGTGGCTCAGACGTAGCCACCGCAGGTATTACTTTTATCACAGTGAAAAACGAACGTTTAGTAGACTGCAAGATGTGGACTGTACGTACCGGTATCCACTCGACTCGTTTGGCCTCGTGCCTACCAGAGTTCGTTCCTGGTACTAGTCTAGTACCGGTACCGCCTAAGGCTTTCCCCTGTCGATCAGCAAGTGCATGTAGGTTTTTAAATGAATCAAAGCACGCTGGAACAACAGACATCAGCCTGATAGCTACTGGTGTCTGGTATCCAAAGACACAGATGGCTGGAATCATGAGGTCCACTGATTGGGCATGACGACGACCTCCAAGAAGTTGCGGACCTGTACTCCAATCCCCAGGTGTGCGGATCGAGGAAGAGGTACAGTACGGTACGTTACGGTGCAGTTCTACTGGTGCCGGTAGACCGGTAGAGACTAACGCTCCAGCATCCAGCATCAAGACTTCACCAGAGATCAATCGAGCCCCCTTCGAAGTTGTCCAATACTCGAGTACATAGGTCTAGACTGCAGCACCGATAGGTGCAGCACTGCGGGTGGGCGAGCCAAGAAAAAAGATTAGACTTGCTCTCTAGGATCCTTCTGAAGTCTGCAGGATCTGGTTTGACAGATAGATTGATTACATGTGGCTGCCGGTAGCTCAGGGGAAAGCATATTCTATAGTCACTGGGAGTGATACCGTAGGACATGGTACATATTCGTACATACGCACTATGCTAGTACAAGTCTACACGCGCTATGAACCATGCTCACTGGCATCACTGTTTTTCTTAAAGCTAAGGGTCCCAAAAAGGGCTAAACTTCGCAAAGTCGCGAAATGGCCAAAACGGCCAAGTTAGATTGCATCAGCAAGAAGCTGAGGATGGAGGTGAAATCCCACAGCTTGCACAAAGGGATTGCGCTGGTTCCTACCATCAGCAATGATCATGTCAATGATCCTAGTAACCCTGCCATCGCCTTGGTAAACGCGCAAGATCTTGGCATTGACAGCATGGATGCTGTTTCCAGCATTCACCAAGTAGGCTTGGACCTTCCAGACCTTGCTGCGCCTGTAGTACTTCTGCTTGATCCCAAGCATCCTGTTGTTCTTCTCCATAGTCGTGAAGGATTTGGCAGCCTTGTTGTCACCAATGCCAAAAATGAACTTCTCCCACAGCTCCATGAAACTCCTAGGACGCTCAATCAACCTAGCGCTTGGATCAATGTCGCCCAACCTAGGAGCCACCGCATCAGCCCTGCTTGCTCCAACTGTAGATTCGGCAGCATGGTTGCGGCGCCTAGCCTGCTCTTGAGGATCACCGCGCACAAAGGCCTGCCCAATAGTACCACCATACCTGCGCTGATTGTTGTTAACACAGGCAAACTGACACCACTGTCGATGGTTTTCCTGGTTGTTCTGCATGGTGTCGAATCGTTGCGTCATGTTCTTCTCAATGTTCGAGAGGAAAGCCAAAATGGTGAATTGGCTTGACTGGCTTGACCCCGCGGTAGTAGTACCAGTGCTGCGAGTACCTGAACTGGACAGATCCGACACCGCATCAACCACTTCATGCCCACTGGTCAGATCCACAACTCGACCACCAACACCAGCCGCAGTGTTGGGAGTACCACCTTGTTGACTCGTAGTGGGAGTGCCTTCGTCAAGGTGGCGGACGCTCTCAAAAATCTCAAGATGGCCATTGATATTGGCAATCACTAAGCCAATCTTCTCTACGGGATTCTTGCTCTGGCGACCATACTTCTGTTCAAACCGGAAGTGCAAAGAGGCATCAGAAGCCTGCGGCATGACTTGGCGCGCTTCAGGATCAAATGCACACCAAAGCCTAGCAAGTGCCATGACTTGGCAGAACCTAAGATCATTTCCATATCGCTTGCGGATGTTGGGAATGCATTGATGGAACAAAAAATCGTCAGCGACTGCAAGGTCCTGGCGGAACACATACTTGATTGGACCACCCTCACACAGGCACCCAGCAACAAAGGCATCCGTGAACTCATCGTTTGGGTCTTCATACTGAGTTCCCATGACACTTCCAGACCTTTCGCCAACCCATTGTCCGCGGAACTCAGTTTGGGGACGGGTAGCGCCCTTGCGCCCGACTCGAGTAGCAGCATACTTGCGAAGTGAGTGAGTGCCAAATCCTTTTCTGTCGTCTTCATCGCCAACTTGGTCTTCCAAACGTTTGAATTCCGCCTTATCCCATACCACCTTTTTGACTCGGTTGCCATACTGTTGGTTGAGGTTGTCTGGCCCTTTCTCTTTGTGGCTATTGTTGGTGAAGAGAAACTTGGAGTTGGGATGCTGCGCCAGCCAGATTTCAAGGTAAAGAGCTAACCAAAGCTGAGGGCAGTTCCTCCAATCATCTGAGAAGTGCACCTGAAGGTAGGATACCAATCTACAAGGTGTTGGAGGTTGTATTACAGACACATCAATACAAATTAGTCGTTTATCCCAATCTAGTTGATAGGGGATATCTATATCTATTCTCTAGTTACATACATGGGGAGTTTAACTGATCTATATGGTCACCCCCTTCACTATATCCTTTGAAGTTGAATCAATCCCAGAAAACATGGAGAAAGATCACTTCTTGGAAATAGCTTAACAGTAAAACAGTATTTTACCTTTACTAAGCTAGAGTGTTACTAGAAACCAACACTATTTCCAAGAAGGTCTCTTCGCCAATGGCGACATCGATATCGAGTATCGACATCCTATTACATGCTATCAAGCTATAAGGTAACCAACATCGAGTCAAGGTTGAGGCAAAAAGGGCTCTAGCCTCACTGAGAGAGCTATCCCAACAGCCTAGCAGGAAAAAAGGCATCAACACGGAATCGTGCCTCACTACACTGACCGGAGAGCAATCGGTACAACCGAATCGTCCAGTCCAGCCCAACACAAGCAGACTGCATTGAAGAGCATTACTAACTACATCACTCTTATGCTTGAACGAAGCGAATCCAACAGGAATTGAGTGAGTTACGGCTGAAAGGCTACGGTACGGAGCAGAGGCCACTGTACCAGTACAGTACAAGCCAAAGCTACTGTACAAAAAGGCTAATTCGGTGTGACCGTACGGATCTACAAGCAAGATCAGCTCACAGGAGTGAGCGAACGGAGCAAGATCAGCTCACAGGAGTGAGTGAATCACAAAGATCTTTGAGCTGCGGAAACAGCCATCGTATGACTGCTAGGTGCAGTGCTGCTACGAAAACCAACTACTAAGAGAAGACTCATCTGGAAGCACGTCGAAGTGCATGCAAGAGTGGAGTCAAGCTATCCAGCTAGCTACCACGACGAGTCCTTCTGGCAAGAACAAGGCTTCCAGTGAACCGGAGCCAAGGCTACTAGTATGGAACCAAGTGCATGGTCGTACGAACAAGCCATCACGAAGAGTACTGCACGGAGCATAGGCTACTGTACGCCTAAAGGGAGTGGCACAAGCGAACGATAAGGTGTGTCCACTGGAAGAGGAGCAACACGGAGAGAAGTGTTGCCACGAAGAGGAACTGGATAACAAGCTCCAACAGGAAGAACCACAGAGGTACTTCCGTGGGAGTGCTCCTATCCTCAACAAGAGAGCCAGCGAATTTGCGAATTTTGCAATTCCACCAGTGAAGAACAAGACGATCCAAGCGACTGAGTGCCACGGCAACAACAGTCGCTGCTGCTATCACCGCTAGCCGCTACGATCAACAAGAACAATGACGCCATCATCGGCGCATTCAAGCAAAATTGAAAGAAAACCCACAAGACAGCAGAGAAGCAACAAGACGATCGAAGCGATTGAACGATCGCTACTACTGTCAACAACAAGAACAAGCGATCGGCCGCTACTGTGTAGCCAGTCGCTGCTACTGCTACGATCGACAGCGCCATTGTGTCGATCGTCGGCAACAAGAAGAGTGTCGGCAGTACCGCTGTCGGCAGAAGAAGACTTTGTTTTTGTGAGGAAATCGCTGACAGCAATGCATCAGTTCCACGGAACCACAAAGAACAAGCCAATCAGTTCAGCGGCAACCACACGAAAGCCGAGCCACTGAACCGAAAACGGTATCTTTGCAAAAAGGTATCTTTCAGGAAAAAGGTATCTTTCAGCTCGAGATCCAAGCTACCACGGTACGGTAGTACAGTGCGATCTCTCCGTACGTCGGCAACAAGAGGCAACAAGAGGATTTGCATGGCGAATCCAAGCATGCCACCGGTACAGGAGCTACCGGAGCATGTCCTGCACCAGATAGCTAGCTAGCTACCGGTACGGAGCGAAGCACATCCAATGCAAGCCACCGGAGCAATGCAAGCAGAACAAGGCTACAGGAAGCACAGGAGTGCATCCGCCCCAGCATTGAATATTTTCTCTGGAGTGTGCATTGAGTTTACACTCAGCACCTCCTACCCCTTTCATGGAGTGTGTATTGTGGCATCCAAGCCACAGCACCTCCTACTACCTTTTATGGAATGTGTATTGTGCAACTAATCCACAGCACTTCCTCCACTGATTACAGGCAAACCTGAGGCAACACCAGCCTCTAGGTAGGCAACAACAGATACCATTACAAGACCATGCCCTTGCTATTTGATCACAGCAAGTGCACAGGAGTGTGAGGGTAGGGTACCCAAAATCCAAAACCTACAATCCTACAAACAAAATCATCATAACATCCGCCTTTATAGGCAATGCCGCAACCACCAACGGCATCAATGGCTACATCAACAGCCAGCATCAATGGCAACAACAGCCAACAACGGTATCTACCGCTACCAAACCGATTACAATGAATCGACCACACCAAATTCGAATTGCATCTACAATAACGGCCACTGCAACAACAGCAGAACGACAGTGAACGTTGAACCGAGTAGCTAGCTACAAGCAAGC